GTGGGTGCTGTTGGTGTCCTGATGGGAGGGTTCATGTTGGGTGCAGCTGTGAGCCAGTCTATGAGTGCTGCTACCGTAGCGGCCGGCATGTGCACAGGTAGTCTTATGTAACTGCTGGCATGTGGCGTGCTTGGGACACACAGTGTGCTTTGGCTTTTACCCTTTAATCACTCGTATAATACTGTTCAAACAGAAGGCCACAGGTCCACACAGCGTAGGCAGGTAGGCAAATAGCGGACTGACTTCAAAATATGCCGTCGCAAAGAGAGTGCGTGTAAAACGTTAAGCTGACAGCGTTGCCCTCCCCTGTGGTTACTTCTCAAAATCCCATCTGTGTACATACACACACACACACACGCATACATACACACACGAAAAGGCACAATTGCTTTGAATAACTTCACTTGATTCTCTGACATACAAACATACATATCAGCATTCTTGCCTGCACGTCATGACGCTACTGGCGTCAGTTGTTAACAGCACAAAAATAAAGATTCAATTCATTCTCTAGTTTTGTTGCGTTTACTGCAGTGACATAAATTGCTAATGTGAATTAAAAAATTCATAAAGCATTGGAGTTATGGCAGGATTAACCAACTAGGCCTCGGGTTAAAAAACAAATGTTCAGCCCCCGTTGACCCCCACCTGTTGTCAAGTTCCCATTAAGTCCAGTGAACACAGCAGACTACAATTGGAAGCTCAGAAGGCCCCTGTAGAGCTGGGCTCTGAGGCAGTTGTACACTTTGTGTGGTTGGTAATCCAACCCCGAGCTGAGGGACGAACTGTCTGAGCTGTTGTCTGTGTTTTTCTGCGTTTGTCAGCTTCGAGCAGAACTGTCACATCTTTGTATTTCCATGTTTGATTCATGGAGCTCTCATCTTTAGGCTGGATAGAGAACCAGGCACTGCCCCAAGGCCCCCAAACCTCAGGGTTCACCAGATTCACTGTGTGGAGATTACTTTGTGGTATTTTAGTGCCCTGCCTCAAAATGTGTTGAAACCTATTTTCAAATCCTTTCAGTTTCAGAGGGGGAGAAATGCTTGTGTGGGCCCACGGCTTAGTTTTTGACCTGGGTCCCCGTAGCAGGTCAACGTGACCCTCATCATCTCAATGTTGCTCTCTAGTTGCTTCTGGGTAATCAGCCAGGTCTGGTGTGTAGTCAGTTGATTTCACATTCTGAGCACATGATTAGGAAGCCCACATGCTAGTATAAGCTACACTTGTGGAAACTGACACATAAACTGTATATTACCACACAGGGTCCATCTATCCCCTTCTCTTACACAACACAGCATCATGGTGATTGTTATGATGTATAGCTGAGACAGTTGTTCAGGTGCAAGCAGCTGAACAACCCCCCCCCCCCCGGTTAACCATTTGGGAACAAGCCAAGGAAGTGGCTTTGTACTGAGGCAGGAAGTGAGTCATCGCTGTTGCTAGGCTAAATATAGCTTTGATGGCGCTAGCAGGAGGCGGAGCGGGCCTTCTAGTCGTCACAAATGTTATCAATGGGAGTTTTCTAGTGGGTGCGCACACACACACACACACACACAGCATCGAGAGACAGAGACACACGCAGAGAGTGTTAGGGGGGAGGGTGGTGCCAGTGACAGAAGAGTGTGGAAGCAAAGCTAACCATGTCTGGGAGCTGTTTGGGAAACGCTGCTCATCATCACTGATATCTACTGTAGCCTGTCTCCTTGTCCTAATGACCCAGTATTTCATTCAGTCACCATATATGTGCGTCTGAGTGGGAGCGGGACAGAGCAGTCGGTACAAAGCAGGGCATTGAGCTGACAGAAGTGTACCACACAGTCTGTCTGGGAGCTCTTCACGGGACCAAGCTCGTTCATCGTGCTTTGCAGCCAGCTCAGTCCACCATCACTGCTAAAAGATGGGGTTGTAGACCCTGCTCCAGACCAAATGATGATTTCATTAATTCAAGTTGGAAGCCTTGTCACATTACCTCAAGGCAGTGTGTTTAACACTGGTCAACGGGTCAGGTCACTGCTCCGCTGGTGATATAAAACATAAGAACGCTCCTGGCTGCAGTGTGGTGATTCAAAAAGGTGTGAACAAATGTTTTTGTTTTTTTAATCCACCTCTGAAAATAGTCCCCAACAAAGGAACCGTTAACATTCGAAAACTGCATTGCTCAGCTGTTTTTGGAAGTTACCGAGCATGCTTTAAAAAAATGTAACTATGTTTTTGTGAGTAATCAGTAGAAACCAAGAGACTCTGGGCGAAGTGTCACAGGCATGGCAGCGAGGTCAGAAACAATTGAGAGAACCATTGTTGTGTTTTGGTATTTAAATGGGATCATAATGTCAGACTTATCTGTGAAGGAAACATATAAAGGCACTTATTCTGGTGATCAAATCAGCCCAAAGAGTCTATTGTCCATCGATTCAGCCATTTTAAGGCTTGATTGTTCCTCCCTAACAAACCACCAGTGACAGAGAGGCTAGCTGTGAATGCATGAATTCATTTCCATACGAGCTACGAGTGTGACTTGACTTTTAGGTCTCCAACAATGGACTCACGAGAAACACCAGATGACTCGTTGCTTCTTCTCGAAGGGAAGTGTTAGAATAATTGGGTGGAGAGGCTTCTGATGCAGCATCCTTTCAGGGTCAGTGTGCTCCAGAGTTTAAAGTGCACAATCCCGCCCTCCTCTAACCAGGAAACGAGGAAATGATATCATTGTCTGCGGCCACTGTTGGAGCGCAGGCCGTTATGACGCATCGGTTGTGTGTTTCCTGCCCTCGGGGGACGAGTCCTACACAATGGATCCCCAGTTAGACTGTGAAAAGTAATCGGCTACATCAGCTCACAGACAGCTTTCTTCAGCAGGGAAAGACGTATCATAACGGCCGACAGAGAGGGAAGAGGAAGAAACTATTCTCCAAAATAAATGTGTGGCAGCTGACGTGGATTTTTATTTATTTTTGCATTGTTTGTTGTCATACTCAATGTAAAGGGAACTGTTTTGCTTGACATTGCAAACTATGATAGATTATTTTGTTAAAACTATTTTATACTGAGCTCCTGTGTGTGCATGTTTTTGCTCGTCTCCAACAGAAAGATGAAGTGTATCTGAATTTGGTTCTGGATTACGTTCCTGAGACGGTCTACAGAGTGGCCAGACACTACAGCCGAGCCAAGCAGACTCTGCCCATGGTTTATGTCAAGGTGTGTGTGTGTGTGTGTGTGTCCTTAACCACTGCGACATTAAGTGGTGTGGTCCGTATTATTAACAAAACCTGGGAAAGACCATATTAAATTAAACTCCGTGTTCAATATCTTATAGCATCATTACTGTCTCAGCAGAGAACCGTATATTATATCCAAAGAATGTAATAAACCAAAGGGTGTCGTCTCTGCTCCATTGTGTTAGTGAAAGATATGTGATGAAACTTCCATTTACTTTATTAAGACCTGAACCATAGGCATCCATAAACAGACTACACATTCCTAATATGTTTGTTTTCTAAAAGATTAGTTGTCACTTATTGAGTATTTCTGATTGTGACAGGTATGTGAGGCAAATGTGCGAATAATTAGCAAAAGCAGAAAAGTCACTGCACATTGCCCGTCTCTTCAGTCTGAATCATTTCTAGTGAAATAATAAAAATTAAAAAACACACCTCCAGTTTATTAGTTCCACGAAGCGGAGGAAGCACTCAGTTACCTTTTTAACTATGCGCACCAATATGAATATTAATCAGTACAGGAAATGTGGGATGAGAAGAGCTTGAGCACATACAGTATTGGTTCACCGTATTACCGCAAAGAAGCATTATTTATCACCTCACAAGAAAATAATGTAATGTTTTAGACATTCAGAATAGGTGAATCATATAAAGACGTCGCCTGCTTGTGTTCTAGATGTTGTGTTGGTTTAAAAGAGGTATTTCAGAGCTTAACATGTTTCGCATAGAGGACATAAGAATACGTTTTGTATGCAGATATTGCCAAAATCACAAGTTTTTGATTGAGTCTGAGGGGCGAAAGAATGCCTTTTGCAGTTACAGACTCATGTTTTGTTTTATCTCTACACGGCCTTGGTAACAAGGGTCAGGAGTTTACAGAGGCAATGCGAGATGCTGTCGCTTAAACATGATAAAATGTTACGTACTTGACCGGGCTGAAATTGAGTTCTTGAGTGATTGTTTTGAGACTTTAGCCCTGTTGTGAAAACTGAGCTTGCTGTGTGTGTGTGTTTCTGTGCGTAGTTGTACATGTACCAGCTGTTCAGGAGCCTGGCCTACATCCATTCTTTTGGGATCTGTCATCGGGACATCAAGCCCCAGAATCTGCTGCTGGATCCAGAGACTGCTGTGCTTAAGCTCTGCGACTTCGGCAGGTGAGACTCAGTAATTCTGTAACTGTTACGAGTCAACAGTGGTCAGATTTCTTTTTCCTGTAGTTTAAAGAAATAGTTTGACATTCTGAGAAATGCCCTTCATTCGCTTTCTTGTAGAGAATATGAAGCTGCAGCCGGTTAGCTTAAAGACTGGAAATGTCTCTGTCTGAAGGAAATCAAATCTTTATAGGTTCTGATAGGTGATTTTCTTTACCTATGGATAGAGCCAAGCTAGCTGTTTCCCTCTGTTTCCAGTCTTGATGCTAAGCTAACCATCTGACGGCAGTTGCGTCATATTTAGCATACAGACATGAAAGCGGTATTAGTCTCCTCATCTAACTCTCAGTAAGAAAGAGAAAATGGCAAACTACTCATTTGAAAGAATTTGGTCTTGTGCTGAGCTAAATGATTGCTGTTAAGTGTTCACTGAAGAGTTTGATGCTCCTTCACAATTCAAGCAATCGACTGAAAATGCCACCCAGGGAAGTTCATAATAAGCAAGTAGGCAGCGTTTTTCATTTTTTTTTACTTTAATCAGAAAGTCACTTACTTTTCTGTGTACATCCTAATCACAAGGCTTTTCTTCAGGTTCGATGATGATGATGATGATGATGATGATGATGATGATGTGGATGATGTGCTTTTGATTCTTTGTGCAGTGCGAAGCAGCTGGTCCGTGGAGAGCCCAATGTGTCCTACATCTGCTCTCGCTACTATCGAGCCCCCGAGCTCATCTTTGGTGCCACTGACTACACCTCCAGCATAGGTAGGCTGACTCCAGCTGTCACCGTCAACACTTTAACCCTTCAGCCTCTTAATAAGCTTCACCTCGGCCCATAGATGATATTTGAGTATGAACGCATACTGACTGAGATTATCAGATGTTCTGTATTATTTTGCTGCTCACGCAGACTCGTCCAGAGGATCGAGGTCATCTCTGCCCTTCTGTTGCTCGTATCGGACATCTTTCTTTCCTTTCGGTGATCTGTCTTTTCCTTTTTTTTTTTTTTTTTTTTTTTAGATGTGTGGTCAGCCGGCTGTGTTCTGGCAGAGCTGTTGCTAGGACAACCAATCTTCCCCGGTGACAGTGGAGTAGATCAATTGGTTGAAATCATCAAGGTAATGACTGGTGGTGACCCACAGGGCGTAGAAGTCTTCATATGTGATACTGAAAGCTTCTTTTGATGTGATGACGAGGAATTCAAGTTAGAGACATAATGCTCTTGTTCTTGTCTGCCGTTTTTTTTTTTTTTTTTTCTCTCCAGGTTCTCGGGACCCCAACACGAGAACAAATTCGTGAGATGAACCCCAACTACACCGAGTTCAAATTCCCCCAGATTAAGGCACATCCTTGGACTAAGGTGAGTCAACAGGTACAGGAGCCCTTTTACTTCTCTTAAGATCCACCGCTGCTTCATCGCTTGCCTCCATGCTTGTGTTTCCAACATACCCGCATGTCGCTCCGCAGGCATCCAACTCCATCACATCCACCCAACATAAGACCTAAACAGCCCTGAGCTGTGTAGCCCCCCATAAAGAATGACGGATAAAACACACAAGACTCAGTCAGTTGTCATGAAACTCTCTTTAGTGTTAGGATTTCACAGCTGAAACGCCACAGTTCTTTGAAATCAAGCTAAGAAATGTGTTTCTTCCTTAGTTCTTGACAATTTGTCCATCCTGCTCAGTCAGTCCTTACTTTGCTCTGCTTTATCTGTCTGTTTATTAAAGACAAGTTGGCCCGTCGACATCAGATACATTCGTTCTCCACTTCGCGCTCTCATCTTGGTGCGTTACAAGTCATGGGGAAAATAAAACGGGTAGGAAACGGTAAAGAGACATTCTCTCTTCCTGGCTGTCCCTCAGCAGTCCCACCCACAGGTCTTCCATTGGATAACCGAGTCGTCCAATAAGCAGGCAGTATGTCATCTCGTTGCCCTCTCAGGGGCCCTGCAGTGGTCGCTCTCTGCATCTGCGTACAGCTGTTCACTGCTGCAGCTATCAAAGCCAACCCTTCATTGATTTTTATTTACCCCTAAAAGCAAATAATTACATTTGACTGACTCATAAAACACACTGGGGATATTCTTTTTTCATTTTCAAGTTCATTTTGTGTGTGCGTGTGTGTGCGTGTGTGTGTTAGCAGCATTGGAATATCTTCTTTTATTTGCCAACACTTGAGAACAGACTTCATGTGGTCCCTGCTGACATCCGTATTTGTGTCTAACTGTCGTTCAGGTGTTCCGGCCGCGTACACCTCCGGAGGCCATCGCCCTGTGCTCTCGCCTGCTGGAGTACACGCCCACAGCCCGCCTCACCCCTCTAGAGGCCTGCGCACACTCCTTCTTTGACGAGCTGCGCGACCCCAACGTCAAACTGCCCAACGGGAGAGAGAAGCCCTCCCTCTTCAATTTCACCACCCAGGGTGTGCACACGCATATATATTGTTTATTAGTGTAGAGGACTGAAGTAGACCAGCAAATATTAACATTTTCAACTAAAACAGGAAGCTGTTGCATGAGTATTTTGAAAGAAAAGTCAATTAAGAGATTATCAAAATGGTTGCTGATGAATTTTGATCAACTAACTGTTTAAAGGACTAATTGTTTCAGCTCTAAATCAGTCAATATGTACATGTTTGCCGTTTCTCTTTCAGAGTTATCCAGTAATCCCTCTTTGGCCTCCATACTCCTCCCTGCCCACGCCCGCAGCCAGGCCGCTGCCTCTACCCCAACCAACACCTCTGCCACCACAGGTTTGACCCACGTTTCCTTCAACAGGCCTCTTTTTTAATGCAGCTTGAAGGCTCTATTTATCTGTTAGAATTACTAGTTGTGACTTCTATTGCTGCTAACTTGAAAAAGAGTATTTACTTGTGTTTAAGGTGGTGTGTAAAAAGCACTGTGGGCGTTTAACGCTGCTATGCAAGTTGCTTTCACCAGAGAGTTGACTGCTTACCTTACCTGACTACCCAAAACAACCAGTAACTGATGGTCACTGAGCAGCTCCAGTGGGGTGTAAAAGATCCTTCTTAGTAGTAACTGAGGAAGGTGATGAGCATTACTTCTTCACTTTCCCTGTCTATATTTTTCCTGTAAAGGGCGACTCATCACTCTATTTGCTGTCCCTCACTCGCCAATCTCCTCACAAACTTTGTTTAAGTAATTGTTTCACTTGACTGATCATCTCCTCTTCCTGTCCACAGATGGCAGCAGTACAGAGCGAGGTCCCAGCACCACCACCGCCTCTGCCTCGGCCTCCAACTCCACCTCCTGAGCCCACAGATGACCCGCCCCGCCCCGGTCTCAGCCCCAGCCCACGGCCTCTTCATTGCCCTGGCCAGGGGGTGAGCTTCGCTCAGCTCTGCTCTGACCTGCTCTCCTCCCTGACAGCAGCGGAGTGATGCCGACGCTGTCCGGGTTCAACAGCTAGCCAACAGCCCCATGCCATGACCACAAACAAAGCATCCCTTACCCGCCTCTTTTATCCCTGACTTGCCCCTCATCCAGCTGTTTGAACTCTACTCCATCCTCCGTCAAAGACGTCTCTCCGTGCCCTTTCAACAGGGAAGGAAAGCGCAGGGCCAGAGCTGTTGTCGACTGTACTATTGATAACAGTACACTGTACATGTATACACAATGCTAGCCTGCTAATGTTTGTAAGAGGACAATCTGTAGAAAAAGTCCTAAGCTGTTCCCCTTGGCCCTCTCCCTATCTGGCCTTCCCCCCCCCCCTTTGTCCTCCTCCACATTGTCCCATTTTTCTGCACCCTTTGACCTCTGACCTCATGTGTCCCCTGGCCGATCCCACCTATGGTTCCTCCTGTAGTGCATGGCCTGAGTATGGTTAGGATCACCCGGGGGGGGTCATCCGCCCTTTCACTTCACACCTCCACTTCCACAGACGAGGCATGAGGCTCACGCACGGGTATACACACATACACACTCATAAACACACACACACACACATGGGTGCATGATGATCCTGATGTATGTGGAAAGAAGCAGTCTCCTTGCGGGGGTAAAGTTTGGACGTTTTTTTTTTTTTGCCTGGGGTTGTTTTTAAATGGTCAGAAAAGCTGTTTAACTCGACCTTGTTTTTAATTTTTGTTTTGTACTCCTGGGCAGATGTTTTCGGATTGCCACGTGCAATGGATGTGACATGTATCTGGTCCTGTGTGTTTGTATAATATATACATACAATACAAAAACAGACACGCATACATACACAGTTTATATATTACTTTCCCTTATGTATAAAAAGTATATATAGATATATGTATATTAACTACAATGGTTCAGAAATCATTTATGGTGAGCTCATATCTGGCTGAGCAGTGGCAATATTTGCCGCTGCCTAAGGACAATAGATTTAGATATGGTGGTGTTTTTGTTTTCTTTGCTGGAGTGTGGTTAGATTCCAGCAGTCTCTTCCTTGTTCTCCTGTGTTGTCTCTATTAAGGCTGTAGATGGATTTAGGGCATTGCTCTATTCCCCGTCTTTGTACCGACTCTGTCTGTGACGGTGTTTCTGTGACAGTGCAGTGTCTAGACAAACACCTTTCCCCGTCTCGCTCCTCCTCTCTCTCTCCGTCTCTGTGAAGAATTCAAGACGTTTCTTAACACTTTTCTTTCCTCGACGCCTTGAGAAGTCTCGGCGGCGGTCCCTCGGCTCATCTCTTGCTGTCTCACGTGTTGCGACCACTGACTGAAGTGTTAGCCTAGCCTTCTTTCTCCTCCACCCGCCGCACATAGAGCCACTCGGTACAGTCTGTCCAAGCGTCTTATTTACAGAGAATACTCACTACATAAAAAAAATAAAAATAAGAAAAGAAAAAAAGCAGAATTTGTATATACAGTATAAATGCTCCTCACCAAAATTCTGACATGTATGACTTGTATGTTTTTGTTTTTTTTGTTTTTTTTAAATGTTATGTTGATTATTTTTTCCATGTTGTGTTCAAGGTATGTATATATGCAGACCCATGTACTGTTTATGAGCAAAAACAAAGATGACAAAGGGTATGGAAAGACATGAAAAAAGATTAAAAAAACAAAACAATCAGGGCAAAACTGATGTTTGTGGATATTGTAGATGATGATGATCAGCTTTATCCAGCCATATGTTCAATCTTACCTGTACAGTACAGTAGATGACAGCTGTATTATTGTAACAAGAACTAGTCATGTATAGTGTAACTATAGTTTGGAGTGCCTTTGCTTTCATACACCTTCGCCTTGTTCCCCTCCTCACCCAGCCCCCGCCATCACCCTCCCCCTCCCGATTGTGACTCTCCCTTTGGTGCTGTTGAATGTCCTGCTATCCCACAACACACACACACACACACAGTCCCACTTGATTTTCAGTCCCCTCCACTCGCACCTCTTCCCCTTTTTCATTGCACACTTATTGTGATATACAGACATTTTCCTTAAATGAAGAAACAATTCGACAAGTGTTTATTTTAATAGTTGTTTGTCTTGGACACACATGCACGCACAAACATGTATACCATAGTTCTGGCACGGGCTCCGGGGCATGAAGTGAGGGGAGGGGGGTTCCTCATATACTGTATGTGTATATATATGTATATACACAAACAATGCAGTACAGTTTCTGTGTTAATCACAGTGATGGTTCTGTTACCAAAGCCAAACTAAGATGTAGTTGTGATGAGCCATCCTCAGAGGCAGTAATGTATTCTGTCTCTCTTCTTCTCTCTCTGGATATTTTGTTGTTGATCTGTCCTCTTGCTTGTTCTCCTTCCTGTCAGCATACTTGGACGGTGGGAGGGATTCAGTAGCACCTAAGGTCGAGTCATGTAGCCTCTCTCCTGTCTCCTGCTTGCTGTAATTTCGCATTCATGGACGTGTTGCTAACCACCACACAAACGTTTGACCACCTCACCCTTACCCCTAACTCCAGTTCACTAAAAACACCACAAAGGTTACCAAAACAGAGAACAAGCAAGTATACATGCTAGTATAATATATTATACTAGCATGTACACTATGCTAACTGGGGTTAAAGAAAAGAAAAATCATAGAAAATACTACAAAAACATCATGTATAACAGTACTACTACTTGAATGCCTCTGTTTGTGACTGAAATTTTTCTTTCTTTTCTTTTTTTCTTTCTTTTGTTCTGTGAAGGTAAGCTAAATGTGCACCTCTGTAAATATTCCCTCTGCGTGCTCTGAGGAATAGTTCCCTGGTACTGTAATTTGCATTAAATAAAGAGTAGGATAGCCTGGAAATGATCGAGCTCTTTGTCTGTTCCATCTTCTTTTAGTGTGAGGGCAAAATGGACGTCAGAGATGGTATGTATTAAGCCTGTTCAGAGTGATTTAGTCTTGAATGCATCAATATTTTCAGAAAAGTGAGACGTATGAATGTTCCGAAGAGTTCTGACTTGGTCTCGGATGCCAAATAACAGAGCCAGCAGCTACATATTTAACATACTTTAGAAAATTGTGATTAAGTTGATAAGAATTTTCTCTCACTATACTTTCCCAACACAATATGCTGGCTCCAGCATAATCAAATATATAGAAAAGGCAGAGAAACACCAAAATCAATAAGCTCCATCCTCTGGGTAACATAAATGTCCGAGGTATAAAAAGGGAAATAATGATTGTATTAGTTTAGCTGTGAGATATAAGAACTCTGAGTTTGAAAGACGAGGAATAACAAAACACACCAACAACTAAATAAAATCATTCTAAAAATATAAACTTGCCAGGATACTTTTTATGGAATTGTTTAGGCTGTGCCCTGTGATCTACTTGACAATGTTAGCCTTTCAATTGTCCACAGTGGGGCAGTGTTTGCCTTATTATGCTGTTAATGGAGCGGAGGCACCATCACGCACTGCAGTCTGGAGAGCAGTTTTATTCACAGTAACACTAAACAACAACCTGAGGTATAAAACGCAAAGAATGTCTTTGCAACTACAGCTGTTTTCCTTCTATGAGAACTTCATGGACTTTTGAAAACCATTAAACCTTTAAAACATAACGTGAACACTCATTGATAGACACAATGTGTACTCACTGTAAGCAAAACAAATAACACATGTCAAATCCACCGGTACTGTAACCACTTAAAACAAACTTTGTAAAACTTAATCCTGCCTTACTCATGGCTTCTTTGACGTGTGGGTGACCAATGATAGTTTACAGCAGGACTAACAATCATCTTTATGTTTTAGACCATCACTTTTTAACACGTGCACAACAAGAAAAACAGAATACTTTGCCTTAAATCAATGAACACAGTCAGCTGGTCCTGTCCATGTACAGTAGATGACAGTATTAAAAGTCATGACAGCAGTTTTTACTAACCACCTCCATTATGAGAGGCGAGATAATGTCTGGCTGGATGTCCTGGATCTGCAGAACCTGTTTGCTGTACTCCTCGGTCATTGTTCTCATCTCCGTGAGACAGGCCATCACTTTAGGGTACAGCAAGCTGAAGGCACAGAGGAAACAGAGGTGGTTCAATCTGTCAGAGGTTTCAGTGAGTGAACTGAGAGTATTTCACTCACTCTTTTTCTGGTCCTGTCCTCTTGAAGTCAATCCAGGTTTTTAGTGTCAGTGCCGTGTTTTCATGAAGCTTGTCAATCACACCGTGTTGCTGCACACCAGGACGGTCTGATAGATCAAATAAAAACAAATCTCTACTAGTGAGAAATACATTTTTATGTTTGGCTGGGTACTAATACACACTGTTTCTAGGGTTTAAATATTCAGCAATATCAGCAAGGACTGTGATGAAGCGCCGCTACCTGGAGAAAACAGGGACATGGCCTGCATGAGAACGTACTCTTCGTCCTGCAGGCCCAGTTTGCGCAGCATGTGGTGAAATCTGAGCAGAGGCTCCAGCAGGAGCGGCTGGAAACCCGCTGCAAAACGACATGACAGAGATGTCAAGCCAATGATAGACCATGAGACAAGTGAAAACATGGAAAACTAACTAATTAAAAATGGATCATAATCTTTGCAGGGGAACCAGAGATGTTGTCTTGTCAAAACATAGTGCCTACATGACCCTAAATGAAACTCACCCACTTTGGTTGCAGATTCTGGTCAGTATGAATGAGCTGCTAACCTCAATTTTTTTTTGTCAGCACCAGCCTGTATATGTTCAAACAATCTGCAGCCTCAGCTTTTATGTGAATATAAGCTTTTCATTTCATATTTCAGTTTTAAAAATATTTACTGTAAGTACATTATGGGCAATATAGACAAAATTATTATCAGGATTACTTCAACAAGATATTTTTCTGTTTTATTGGATCAATATTTACAAAAGTATTAAAGATCACAAGCTAAGAAGTTTTAGTTGTCATCTAATGCAATGAATACAGCTGCATAGGACCACTGTCGTCAAAGACTTTTCTTTTAGAGCTGCATTAAAACATCCAAATAGAATAATATTCTGTGTGGCCTGAATTATTTCCGAATCTTATTGTAAATATCCCATAAACATTTTTGAGAGACATTGCGCACAGGATCAGTCTTACAGAGTGTCTGCCAGCCGAGGGAGTACAAAGCTGGAAGACAACGAATGAATGCCTACAGCTCTTCAGTTTGTCTTCATAAAAGGAGCAGACCGCACCAGTTCGACGACATTCTTGTGAGCTTTCCTCCACCCGTCACGTTCCACCTCTGTGAACATGACGTGGGAGAGAAGTGCACACACACTTTCACACATAAAACAGTTTGCAACTTCACATACAAAGATGCAGGGCTAATTGACACCGAAACAAATTAAATGTGGAACTTCCACCTCATTGACCCCTTCATCACGTAACAAAAAAATGGTTTTATTATTACAGTGCTATTTGTAATGTCTACGTACATGTTCACACCGCACAGTGGATACAGCCAAGCCTCCTCCTTTGAACATATGCCAAAGCATGCATTGGCTCACCTCGCACAGCGTCATCGATGCAGTATTTCATATGGCCGCATTCCCAGATGCCTGTGTTCGCATTGAACACCATGTTGAAGCGGATCTGCATAATTTCAAAAGTGGCTCCCTTCAACAGAGCAATTTGGTCACCCATGTTGAGAGATCTGTAAGACACACACACACACACACACACACACACATACACACGTAACAGTGAGTAAGTTGTTCCAGGTAGACATCAGTTCTAAAACAAAACATATTTGGTATGCATTGAGGCACACATTTACCGGAAGTCCCTGAGACCTTTGGAGAAACGAATTATGTCCTGAATCATGTAAGTGGTGAGGTCAGTCACGTGTGGAAGAGCCGAGAAAACACTGGCTTTTCTGACCTCTTCGTCCTCGTGGTTCTCTTGTTTTTCAAAGGAACCAGAGAGACTGGAGGAGGAGGAGGAGGAGGGCGAGAGGGAGGGCGAGAGGAAGCAGAGTGAGCTTTCAGACTGGTTGAACTCACTCGCAGGAAGGACGTTTCTATCGATGGGCTGAAAAGATGAAAGCATTGTTCAGACATGTGAAAACAACGACAAAAGACAACACCTAAAACGCGCTGTCAGTCATTCACGCACCCTGAAGCCACTGAAGCGGTAAAACGCTGGGTCGAATGAGTTGTGTTGGCCACAGAGTAGCTCCTGAATGGCTTCCTGTTGTTGGGAGGACAGCTGTATTGGTGCGTCAAGCATCTTCTTCGACTGGATTCGGATTCTCCGCTCCAACACCTTCTTCTCAGACATGACCACTACAAGGACACAAAACATACCTGCATGTATAGAAATCTGATTTCAAAAACAGTTTCACAAAACTAGCACTCTAGCAATTGAAATTTGAACTCCTCAAATCAGATACTTCTGTCTTAATGTAAATACTGTACAGGTTTAATACGGGATCATACGTTGTATCTGGATGTTACTTACTTTCTTGGCGCATGCCTATGGCCTGGCATTTACGGAAGCGGCAGGCTTGACACGAACGTCGGTTGTTTTTCTTTATATTGCATTCATTCAGGAACCTACAGCGGAGCTGCGTTGGCCTCTTTACGGCACGTCTGAATTTATTTTAAAAAATCCACTTAGTAACAGCTTACAAACATCAATTTGATGTTAAAAAAAATCACATGCATGAAAACACACATTGTATTACAGTCTTACAGTGTGCGACGTATGTGTGTAACGACAATGCTGAATGATGACGTCACACTGGTTCTGTTTCAGATATGTGAAGCTAGCCGTCCGCACAGCTCACAGGCGGCTACTGTGTATCTGAATAAAGGATTCAATGAAAGAATCTGGAGGCAACACTACTGATTAAATAGTTTGGCCAGTGCACATATTGCCTAAAGGAATCTTACAGAAACCAAACTGAGCAGACAACGATATTTTACAGTGTGGGTTATTTCGCAGTTTTATAGCTCTAATTTAATTCATTTAATAAGTAAAATATTTAGAGATATATAATTGTATTTCAAATAGTATGGTTTTAGCAAAGATGCAAGGGTTTTGGGAACAACAGAGCATACGACTGGAGTTGTGTGAGAGTGTATGTTTTGATATAGTTCTGCTGAGCCCCATTTTCTTGAAAGTTTTCTTCAATAATTCAAGGCAACACGGGTAGAGTAATTGATGTAGAAAGAGAAGGGACAGTTTTGCTGGAGAGATGAAATGCTGTCTGGCTCAGTATCCATTTTAATTCATCTGATGATTATACTTGTTTGGTGCCTCGTTTCAGAAATGCTGCTTAAGCCAGTGAGAAAACTGTAAATCTGCCCCGATGATAAGTGCAAGTGAGGCACCTGTTTCCTATATCACAGATGTCCCTGTTGGTTGTTATAAATAATGGCAAAACTGGGAAGCAGAAACACAGACTGGGATGAGGGATAAGCTGCAGCATGTGTGTAATATAGAGAAAACGAGTGAGCGAAACAACCTCACCTGAAGAAGCCCTTGCAGCCTTCACACGTCAAGGCGTTGAAGTGGAAACCCTTGGCCAGATCTCCACACACACCGCAGGCTTGGGGCTCCTCATCTTCCGTCACCTCTCCGTCCTCATCCACCGCTTCATTGTGCCTTGTGAGCGCTTCTCGGATGCTCTGCACTCCAGTGTCCTTCTCACTCATTCTCCCCTGTGAGGATGATGAGACCAAGGAATTTACTTTTAATTGTTACTTAGATTGACATTATTTAATTTTAACTAATTGTATTTATGTCGTTGGCTAAAGAGTTTTTAATTTGGTATACTCCCTATTGATTAACTTTAAGTACAACATTGTTTATGGATAAAAATGACAAGTCCCTACAAAAAAAAAACAAATTTACATAAGACGTATGCTCTGCAATAATGAGCTGTGACGCGCTTACCTTCTAAGACAACAATATTGGGGCTGAATTCATTCGACAAATGGTTGCAGAATCATTTTCTTCTGTTGCATCGTTGAATAAAGGTGCAGTGACGCATGCGTTTAAATGAAGGCTCAGTTGAGATATTTAAGACTATTAAAAGCCTTTCATTGTAATCCATTCCCCGAGGCTAAATTATCACAGTGGGGAACCATTTCAAACTCCATCAAAGAGCATCAAGTAACACCAAGTACTATGAAGTGCCTTAATTGCAGCGGTGCAAAACAATGAATAGTGCACACGCTTTCAACAGAACCACTTTATACTCTCATTACTTCCAATGACACATATAAAGTTGCTTGATCTGTCACAGTGATCATACTTTTATAATAGTTTTGTATAATTGTATTTTTGTTTCAAATCTTCAAGTCAGTGAACTGAACTGACTGAGAGGGACAGACCTGAAGAAAGTATATTTTTTCAACCTCAAATACGTATTCTCAGTGTCAATAAATGTGCTACTATAAATACATCATCAATCCACTATATGACATTATTAACCACAATCATAATGCGTATAGTAGGCCTAATGTGATGTGCCTTTAACCTGTTACCATTCCTGTAAAATTAGCCAGACACAACCAGAACGAGTAAACGTTTTACGTTCGCTTACACAACCGTGTGACTGGCAGTGATTGAGAAACATCGATTCTCAATAAGCACCTCGCGAAATACATTTTTTTTGTTTGGGCCACGCACCTCTGTCGTCATTCTGTTAACTTGGTGGGCAGAAAAAACGTTTTGACACAGTCCATTTCCATTTTATATAAGTCGAAACAAAAAAACAACAACAAGTAAAGTGACTCTTATGTAATCTGAAATAGATAAAGAGTTTTCCGACATCTCCTTTGCCTGGTTAAAGGTCGAGCGTTAATCAAACTGTGATCGAGATCATTCCACTCACTGACTTGGTGACTCCAGATGTCCACACAGCTGTCAGTAGCCCACTGCGCTTCGGTAGCCTCGGATTTACTTTACACTCAACAGGTGTCACGAGTGCCGCATTAGCTCTTCCTGTTGGCCGTGTTGTTTCATACCCTGGCTGCAGCCTGCGGGACGGGCCTGTCCGCAGAGAATGTGCGTGTGTGTGGGTGTGTGTGTGTGTGTGTGTAGGTGTGTGTAGGCGGACGCCTTTTGGATTTTGATAGGCGTCTATTCAGTTGTTAAATTATTTTTTTGTTACAGTTAAAATATGAGAAAATAGAAAATTTGTTACAGTGTATTTTTTCTCGTACTTTCTCCTTAGTGTTCTCCTAAACTCTACAGTAAAATGATTTAGGGTTACCTGAGCACCATTGTGACCTCAGTTACTCCAAACTTTGATGTCGGCAGTGCTGAGGCCACAAGGGGCTAATTTATTATGCATTCTGTGTAGACATTGAAAATCCAGCTTTGTTTCCGTCCCATGACTTTTTAAGACTTTTTAAAAGTCTTTTTAAAACTTAAAAAAAAATTGCATTAGACTGAGAGCTGAATTGCTGTCAGTCATTACAGGCTTATATTATAAGAATTAGACCACATCAAACGTCTTTCTATAACTTCCTATCTCACTTTAAAGCACATTTCTTTCTGTAAATAAGTCAATGCATGAATCAATCAGTCTCTCTGTAAAAAAACTCTGTCAAATTTCTGTCAAAATAAAATGAGAAGTGCTTCAGTGTGGTGGAGGAAAGCAATCAACTGATTAAGGTGGAGAGCAGGTGCACCAATACCAACTGGCACCAGCATTAGACTTAACAAATAGCTATAGCATAATACAAGCCTTAGTCCAGGGCCCCTATCAGGCACTCCATACCATCACAGCAGCCCAACTAGAGTCCCCAAATAGAAATGGAGCTTGTACTTGGACCCTGTCAGAAAATGTAGGAATATACTGAACATTCTAGTTAAAGTAGTAATAATCAAAAGACTACAATCAACCCATAAACCCACAATGATGAATATGAAACTTTAATAGTATTGATGAACAGCAAATTTAGACATCAGACTGCATTTCAACACGTTATATTCATAGTCCTCTCTTTACTCTGTTTCCTTCCCCTTCTCCTGCTCCACTTGGCTGATCATCTCCTCGAGGACCCGGTTGGAGGCTCTTTCAGAGGGACAAGTCAACTGCGTCGACAAGAGAGTACTAGGAAGGATCCCAGAATGCTCAGCAGCTCCCTGAATGATGCTCCGAGCTGCTTGTAAGTGTCTATGCTGCCTCTGGTGCACTGGGGGAGAGAAATCACACAGTTAGACCGCTGGTAAATCTATCATTTAACTTTATCAGTCAATTGTCATTTATTGTTTGTTTCTATTAAGGGAACGGGTCTTAAAACGTGGTGCCTTTTTTATCTGTTTGTAATTGTTGGTACAAATACCATCTACTCATAATTTTCAATCATTTTGACATTGTTTACTATGATAACAATGTGTGAATACATGGGAAATAGGAAAATCTCCCAAACCTCTTTGCCTGACAGTGATCTTCTCGACCTCTGGGATGAGGAAACTGTACATCAACTCAGACACAATCTCCTCCGACTGAAGATTGTTTCGGCTAAACACACACATTATCTTTGGTCATTATTGCTGCTTTGAAATTTCTGAATATAAAACATTAGCTGGCATGCTGAGGTATCCATTACCTTTCCTCCATGGCATAGGCGATGTCGTTGACCTCCTTTGCCCTTCTGTGGATCTCCTCTCTGGCCTGCTTGTCAGCTGTCTGCTCCACGGTTGCTAGGATGATGTCCTCCAAATACAAATCCACAGTTTCCTGGTGCACCTGAACCACCTGTTACACAGTGTTTAGGACACACACACACACATGCAAAGCAATAACACCTGTGCACCGCAAACACATACAAACATATTATCCTTTGCACACTCGTAGCTAACAAATGACACATGTACACACTTGTCTGAAGATCTCATCTTCTTCTCTGCGTCTGCGGTCCTCCACCTGTCTCCTCCCATTCTCCTCAGCCTCTCGCAGGCGACGGTCTCTCTCAGCCAGTAGTATAAAGGCATGGATCCTACGCTCTTCCTGGAGATGAATCAGCCCCTTGGACAAGGTGTCGAATAGGTGTTCAAGCTCGGCGCCTACCACTCCGGCCTGAGAAGCCTCCTCTTGAGAGGTCTGGGAGGGGAGAGAGGAGGCCCATTGAGATTGTTTGGAGTTGGTAACATTTTGTATGTGGATGTGACTATGTTTTTCACCTCATGTCTATGTTTGTCTCTCTGATCTTTAAGGGTCATCACGAGCCCTTTGTCAGCTTTCTGTAGCTCTTGCTCCTCCCCCTGCAGGGCGTGGACAGTCCTCAGTTCCCGAAACAGCTCCAGATGGTTCTCCTTGCCCTTAAACATCTGTAAAACAACACAGACAGAAGTGAATAGAGAGTAAATAGAGTCCTTACAACTTAAGAACATTTAAATATTTCTGTAGGCACTTCAGCCATTAAAAAAAAGTAACGGACATGCAAGTAAACATGCACACACACACACACACACACACACACACACATGCATGTGCATGCAGACATGTTCAGACCTTGTATTGAATACTTCTTCCTCTCAGTAATTTCTGTAAGTGGATGACTGCGAGCTCTATCTCCTCGTCCCCCTATAGAGGGACACATGAATGAGTTAACAATAAAACGAAACATGTAGGATGAGCAAGGTTAATGTCAATTAGAGTCAGAGACATTTGCTGACCTCTGGTGGCTCCTCCACTATGGGAGTGACAGGACGAGGAACGGGCTTCTCCCTCTTGACAGGAAAACACGAAGCTTTTTGCTTATTTTCCTCCTCTCTCAGGGCCTGTAGACCAACAATCGGTAATACATGTGTATGTAGAACGTAAGTGATATACTTGAACGTATTTCTTTCTGCTTTACCTTGTATTTTTTCATCATTTCTATTTCTCGGCACTCAGGTGGACTGATCACATTGTTGATGACTTTGGGCTGATGTCTTTTCACCCATGGCTTGAGGTCTGAGGCAGAGAGTCCTGCCTCTAACTCCAGCAAACCTATGATTGACAAAAAGTTTAAAGTTTCCTTGAAAATAAACGGATAATGTTGTCTCTGAGATGCTAGTATGGAGATGATCCACACTTCTACTTGATGATTCAGACCTTCATATGCGTTCAAGTAGTGGCTTTTTAACTCATTGTTGCAGGTGTTCCTGTTGGAGAATGTATCCCTGCGGCTCCGAGGGGCACATGGCTGAATATCCGTATAGTTTTTGCCAATGCCAAGTCGCCCCAGCTTCCCCTCCACATTTCTCCCCTTGGCTTCCAGTTTTCTCAGTGCTACACACAAAATAACCACGAAAAAAAGAAGATGAAAGGGAATTTAAAAAAACCTTGAATAATACATTCACGATCGAGATATGATGTTAGAGCAGAGCCAGCGGTTGTCTTACACCTGGTGTAGTCATTGTGAATCTTGTGTAGTTTGGTCTTTTTGTCTTTTTGGAGCTTAGAAAATATGTGGTTGAGTCTCTCGCTTGTGACTTCTTTCTGGGCCTCATCTCTTTGCCTCAAGAGGTCCTTCAGCACAGTAAGACGAGCATCTTGCAACCTTGTCGCCACCACAGAAAAACAAAGAGCATGGCAGAAGGGCAGGTTTTGCATGGTGAAGACAGCAGGAACATCAAGGGGAAGGAGAGGGGTCACAGAGATTACTTAATAAGTCAACATATTATTCTTGGTTAGACATGTAGTAGCCCCAAGTACTATGTGTTTGTAGCATTTTGATGAGAGAACCTACCTTTACAATGCCATCTCAAGTAGAATTGTGATGGCAGAAGGCTTAAGATATAATGCTACTTGATACATGCTAACAGGTGGCTCAAATCTGTGCCAAACTGCACTAACAACATGTTGGATGAGTAGTGGTTTACTTATCTATTTATGTCTCTTCTTGTTGGAAATAAAAAGTTAAATAACAGCGGTTAAGGTGCAGCACCACTCACTTCTGGATTTCTCCTTCTCTGAAAGCCCACTCTTTGACCTCCATCTCCTCCATCATGCGTCTCCTTTTCTCCAGCTGACTAAGGTCATCCAATGGAGGAAGGGTGGTCGCCCAAGCTCGTTTGGCACGTGCCCGCTCTATCATTTCCACTTCTGCCAGGCCTGCAGGCAGACCACGACCTAAGGGAAATCGTCATCAGGGAGGGTTTAATGAGATGCGTAGGTAAGCTTAATAAAAGACACTAAAGGTACAAGTAGACTAATAACCTGGTAGGTGCCGGTAAACTATTCAGATGACCACTAGTGGGACAGCTGAATATGTCTAGTTTTAACAAGGTAATTATACATTATAGTCTCTTCTAGTGAAGATCTGAACAGTTGATCATGTACCCCAAGTCAAAGCTGCCATTTGCAGGAGTTCTGAGGGAGTTGTCCCACGTTGCACCACATACTCAGGGCTGTACGGGTCTGTCTGTGTTTCACTTTCCCTGTAGTCTGTCTGGACCCCGACAGTGAAGTGGGTGGGCTGTTCAGAATGCCCAGCATTCTTTCCACCAGAAGATACAACGTCTTCTCTGATGAGACAAAATGAGAGGATGCACCTTCTAACAGATTTGGCTGGTAAATAAAGAAGTGTGATGAATCAATGCGGTACTTACGTAGGCAATGCAAAAGTTGCATGCGGGGGAATCTGCTCTGCAAAGGGAATCAGAGGGCTAAGGGAAACAGAATGGAACACCTCGTCAGAGACACGGTCAATATCTAAAGTGGAAACTGTGGCAATATGCCAGTTATACTTTGCAAACTGTCATAATATCAGGTTGAAGAAACTGCTGCACAATGTTGGTATGGTTGTATTCCACCGTATTCACAGCTGTGAATGAGTGAGTGTAGACAGGCCAGTCAAACCGTTTAAAGTATTTCCAGCGATCAGCTCCGGTCACATGGCACTCCTCCCTTTTCAGCCATGACTGAGACTTTGGAATAACCCTGTCAAGTAGATAATGCCAAGAGACCCAGTGTATATTTGTCAAGAGTAGCTAACGTAGTTAACCTTGAATTAATACTCATTAAAATGGTGTCTGTTAGTGTTACCCAGCCAACTGCTGCAATGCCTCCACACGCTGTTCCGTGTGGCCTCGCCAGCGACGATCCATAAAGGCCGGTACTGGGTCTGCTGGGTCCAGCTGAACGGTATACCGCGGGTAGTGGGACAGGTCACTGAACATCGACTCAAACACAGGCACTCTCCTCTGATAAAGGCAGAGAGAAATACAGTCAGCGAGTGCATTTCATGTTCAGTCTGTTTCTTTATTCTCATGTTAAACAGTAGCAGAAAAAATATTGGCCATGGGTCCTAGTTGAAGAGCAAAGGTAAACACAAAGTGGGTCAATTGTGACATTTTTTCCTAAGCTCCATGTTAATAGTGTGAAATAAAAAATATGAATTTAACTTAGTTATACACAGTACAATATTACAGCACAAGCTTCCTTTGTATGCTCTTATCTAATAAATGCAGCTTAAAACAAACACTATTCTGACAATAAATCGGTGTTCTAGAAGTTCTAGATGAGTTTACGGTATACGTGTAAACAACTGAGAACAATACTGTCATTTTTAGACAAATCTGTGAGCAACAGAACTTAACCAACATAAAACATGGTAATAAGTAAACAATACAGTTTGACCCAACATATGTCTTGTGTTGCTAAGCCAAAATGAGTGTTGCCTTTAACTTAGTATTTGGGCAAAACAATAAGAGTTACACATTAGGGCTCAACAAAACCAATATGTTGCTGTAGGACACATGTCGACGCAACTTACTATTCGGCCCTTAGACGCACTGACTCTGGACCTGGCATGGTTCACCTCCGATGACACCGTGTACACAGGATCTGTGGAGAGACAGTTCACTAAATGTGTAAATGGTATCGCGTCAGCGTGCATTTAACGCTATATTATAAGTATACTTACCATATAAGTGGTCATAAAGCCGTTGTGGCCTCACAACTTTAGAGGCTTCATTTGTCTTAGGATTCGTGCGAGTGACGCTCATTTTCTCGCTTAAAAATCGTGGTTTCCTTAACGCGTCTCTCTCAGACAGCTCTGTGGTGTTTAGCGATGTAACCATGGTGAAGGTAAACTCAAAGGTTTAACGTTGGGGGGTGGGTCATTTTATTATCTGCATAAAACATCGTGTCGTTGAAAGAGCAGGCTTCACGAAAATGAGACTCTACAAATGACGTGGTCGTGCATTACATGTGATTAAAAAGGCAAACGTCCAAGCAAATGTACCGAACAAAACAAGAGGAGAAGTTAACGAACTACAACTCCCAGGGATCATTTCGGAGCGTAGCGTTCTTCGCCCCGGCTGTGTCTCATTCGTGCTTTGGTCGACTTGAGGCTCATTAGTGTGGAAGAAAAGCCATTCTCCTGACAAAACATGAAACGTGATTCCTCTATAAGAAAGAGATCATTTCAAACGAATTGCCACAACATGAACATATAACATCGTTACAGAGACTCCTGTGTTTAAATGTTGCGGAAGAGAAACTTTCAAACGAGGACGTGATATATATACTCCCGGGAAAAGCGATTCCTCTCAGGGATGGTTCCGCCCCCTTTGCGTCTCGCCTTACAACATAACCTTTACATTATAAGAATGGAATTATAACCCCAGTGATGGAAAAGAAAGTACATGTCATCTGTTTCATGTTATATGTGTGCATGTAGTCAACATATAGTCACAACAGTTTAATACATTGCCCCAAAATTGATCAACTAGTCCTACAAATTTAAAAAGATGTTGCTTAATGTTATTGCTGATAGACCAGGGGGGTAGAATAGTATGTTTCTATGTTAATGTGAAAATAAATTATACTTTTATTGAATTATCCTGCTTAGGTGTTTGAATGGTAAAATTACATTTATTTGATTTACTTTGACAAGAGTTCATCAGTCACAGAGGAAGGCTTGCCCCATTAAGTACAAATGTACATCAGGAGCTTCTTTTGGCTATTACTCTTTTTCAGAAGACATATTCATTGTTTCACTTCATACATCTCTCTTTTTTCTTTACCCCTCAGAGCATATTGTTGGTGAGCCAAAAAGGTTGATTTTGACATCAACAGGAAGTCTGTGTTATCAAAGGAAACAGCCACACACACACACACACACACACAGCATGTGGCACAGAGAGTATTCTCTTCCTCAAAGGTTTTTTTTAGTTTTGGATTAGAGGAACACAGCTGACCAAAGCAACATTTCTTCACAGCTGTAAAAAAGAGCCAGTTTTAGTGCCAAGTGTGCCAGCTCACAGTCAGCTGAACTTATTTTTGTTGAATAAACACTGTCTAATATTAGATCTTAGAAAAAGGAGAACACGCTTGTGCATGGTAAAAGCTGGATTACTACAACTGTCACTTCCTCACATTAGTGTCAGTACTGTTTTTGAATTCCCAAACTCAGCATTTTATGAGTACGGGCAAATAAGTGCTGGCCGAGCTGTGGGTTGATTTCCTGTTTAACCAGAAGGTTTTATGCAGGCCTCTCTTTCAGAGATTGTATATCTGCATTGAACATTCATTATCACAGTTATGGGCAGAGTGAGAGTACACTCAGCAAACAGAAACTTTGAGTTTTTATTGTTCATCTGCCCCCAACCTGATTTTATTTGGGGCAGCTAATATGAAGATGTCTCATTCCATGATCTACTCATGAACCACAAACTCCACATTGAGCTTGCAGATCATAACCACATGCACACAATAACTACCTAATGTGTTGTTGTCGGTTCATCTCTGATCTGCAAACTGAGGATGGAGTCAGCGCCTCTGCATTGTGTAACCGTTATAAAGCAAGATGTTCATACACCAGCAGAGACCGCAAACCAAATTACACTTACTCAGCACAAAAGATTTCTTCTCTATAATAACTATAATAGATTATTATTTAAAACCTAGCTAAAAGTCACACAACAACCTTCCAATAAATCCTGCTTTCAGTAAGTAACCTTTTTAGAGAAGTGTTGATTTAACTGTGGTAACTTTGGAGACGATATAGATTGTGTTGTTGCTACATTTTTATTGTGTTATGGTGAGAGGGCGACTCTGATATGTTGCCTACACTATTTAAATCAATGAGGATAGACTACACCTCTCAGTTTAATGCAAATGCGTTCAGCAACAGCAGCTCCAAAAGGCCTATTTAGAATCAACACACCGGTCTTAGTTTGAATAACATCTGAACATTTTAACATTAAAGAAGGTGGGATTTATTGCAATGCTATTGTATTTATTGGTTTATTTGAACGGGACAGTGCACATTAATAAAAACATTTCTGCAAATGTGCCAGAGTTAGCCAAAAGGCTATTTTTCATCTGTAGTCCCAATAGTATTACACTGTATTAGATGTACGAGCATTCATATAGTAATGCAGTCTGAGCCATGTTGAATTTTATCTATGGTATTGTACATATACGAAATGTGACTGTGTCTAATGTATCTGCTTTGCAACGTTGTCTTGCTTAGAGTGTTCATACATACTGCTTTGACAGAGTGAGATGTAACTAGCAAGAAAGGAAACTGGTATCTTGTCAGACGTCATCCTGTGTTGGAGCAAAAAGGCAGATGTTTCAGTGGAAAGCGGTTTGGAGAGGGGGGAAGACAAAAATGAAGGGAGGGATTAGTGAGTCACATGTCCTTTATATGTGTTTGTCATCAGGAGTGTTAAGGATGTTCAGTTTGTCTGGATGGGGTGGAGAACTCGCTCGACTCAAACCCTGAGCTCATTGTGCATAAATAGAGAGAGAGAGAGAGAGAGAGAAATTGATAAACGAGGGTAAATGGTATAGTCCGGGCAAAACCAGGCAACTCAGTTTGATGTCACTGTAGACGGAGTTCAGGACTGAGGATTCGGTTAAAGACTTGATGTGTTTCTCACAGCGCTGCAGGTTGCCAGTCTACAGAGGAACCTGAAGACAACTGGCGATGGGGCACATGATGTGGATTTATGCTGTGGTTATCTTCGTGTTGTCTGAAGCACGGAGCATGGATACAGGTTTGAACATACATTCATTTTACTCACAAGTGGTTTTAGCACTTTAGATCATTCAGCCTTGGTCAGATACAGCTTTTAGATACAGACGCTGTTATTTTGAGGCGCACAAAACCTCCACAAATATGATCTCGTTAGGAGTTGCCTCTGATAATTAGCAACATGGTTTATGTTATAAAAACTAGGGATTCATATTTTTCATACTGTCATTTGTGCTACTTTATAGGCTACTATATGTATGTTTTGTGAGTGTATTTCCCTTAACATGCAATGTAACTCAAATATTATACAGCCATAATAATATCGTTCATTACTGTATATTCTGTTACATGTAGTAATATTTGGATGAGTAGTAAACTGTAAGTGTTTAGACGCTCTGTATTTTCTGTGAAGTAGTCTGTGGTGTGACTCACAGTGTAGACAGTCAGTGGAAAGAACATGCTCGGAGGCTGGGGTAATGCACAAGCTGACAACGGAGGGAAATCTCCCACAACACAAACAGTATATGAAAAAGTTGCTCCATATTCTCTAAATGAACAAGCAGCACGCTGCCACCAGCTTCCTCAGTGGAAATCATGATTTCAGATCAAGGTAACCCCACGATGCACATTTTCTCCACTGTGTGGTCTCTGAGAGGTGGAAGAGACGCTTCTGTTTCGAATCTGTGGTTTTGCCATCCCACTTCATGCATGCCTGTTTGCTTACACCTGTCAGAAGTAAACAAATCTTAGACCCCCATAACACCATGAAAGTCACTCATTGAGTCATGCATTTAGCAATCAATTTCTTTGAAATAGCAGTGATGATGTCACAAGCTTCTTCTACAGTGTAGACAGGCACACTGGGGGAGGTTATGGAGAGATTAAATTAAATACTTTTGTTCTTTTTTTCTGTTTAGATTTGCTTTACAAAGGTCAAAGTAGTGCATTTTCTGCCACAACTGTCTGTGATTTAGCCCTGCTGCAGCTGTTCAAGTCAGACCGGTTTTAATTGAATCGCTTCACACCCTTACTAATACTACCTGACGGATAACAGATGAACCCGTTGATTGTTTCTCTGCTGATGGAACATCTCAGAACAAATCACTAACTGCATGCTTTCTGACTGATATATCAGATTTTACTAACCTTTTCCTCACATCCACCTCCATCTCTCTCAGGAACTAATAACAGCACACAATCTGCGAACCTCACAGTTTATGGTAAACACATTTCCCCTTTTCTATTTCTATTATTTTGGAAGGCAATTATGAAGTATTAATGGGCTATACCAAATGTTTGCCCGCATTACAAAAGTAGGCTGATTACACATTGTTCTCATTCAGTAGCTGTTAGAATACATGTTTATATTCTGCAACGATAAAAAAATATTCTGAAGGAAAGTTGATGTGTTTGAATTTATTTCAAATGACATTCTAATATAATTTTCTTCCGTCTAATAATGATCAAAGGTTTAAGCCAATTTATCATAGCTTATTTATTTTGGGATATTTTATTGTAAGTAATAAAAATAAAAACATCAAATATGATTCATTTTTTAGCTGTTTTCATCTTGCGTAATGCTTCATGGCTTAAGTTATATCTGTGTTACATGCTATTTATAGTTTGTTTTGTTATTTTTTTGTTGGTTTGTTTTTGCAGTTCCACTTCCCGTGTAGAATTGAAGATGTTTTTATGTTTTTGCATGTTTTTTTGTGTATATTAGGACATGCTCACTGTATATAGAATAAACCCAAACCATTTAATCAGCCCAGTCATTGGACCACTATGTGCAGACATTATATAATGCAACTATGCTTTTCTCTTTTCAGCTGTCAGACATTTAGATTTCAACCAGGGGAGTGAAGTTAACCTGACATGCAGCAATAAGACATGGAATGAGATGCTGTTTGTTATCTGGGATATACAATTTCAAACCAAAAAAGAATGTAGGATATCTTTTAACAATGGCACAAACGATGATTCCTGCAATGATGGCAAATCACTCCGAAACACATCCAGCGCCTTGTCCTACCTTCACATCCCAAACTTCTCAGATACTGACGAAGGGCGATATGAGTGTGAGTCGGTTTACACAGGAGGAAACGACAATCATGCCATCCATGTGGCTATCATAGGTAGGAAAGATTCATGATTTCAAGAGCCACATAATCAATAAGGTTATCTAAAAGGGTCAGTTCACCCAAATCACTGTGACAAAGATTAATAAAACATCAATTTCTGTTTTACTTGCCTAGATTTTTTTGTGATTTAGTTACAGCGAGCTGAAGTATAGGTCTATTCGGTGAGTCTCATTTCTCTTGTTTTGTTTCCCCTGGCCCAGTTCCTCCCCATATATCAGCCTGGTTATACCATAAAGACAACAAGATGGTGGCAGTGTGCAAGGCCAAAAGAGGAAAACCTGCTGCCAACATCAGCTGGAGTCATATGGGAAACAAATTGTCTGTGAAAAATTACTCTGTGGAAAATTACTCAGATGGATTTTTTACAGTAGAAAGTCACCTGGAGCTCCCCGAGGGAATGGACACAGAAAACCTGAGCTGTGTTATCCGGCACCCAAACTGGACACGGGAAAGGATTTTGGTACTGAAACTCGAAAAAGGTCAGGCTCTTGCAGAGTGGACAGTATGAGAGACAACATTTAAGCTTTGGGTTTAGTGCAGAAGCAATAAGGTTAATCTTTTTAGTAAACATTGACTAGGTGACTTTATAGTGGTTAAATAGATGTTATGTGCTGTATTGATACTGCAGATTTTTAACAAACCTTTAATTTTCACTCTCTCACTGCAGGTTATTTCCCTTGGCTGTACGTCCTTATTGTTGTCGTAATCATTGTGATTTTAGCAGGATTTTTATTTTTGGCACGAAAGAAAATAATAACATTGAGGTAAGAATTTCCATTTAATGAAAAATGACTTACAATGACTACTTAAGCTTTTTATGTTGAATCACTGAGCTGGTTTGTGTATCCACCTTTTGCCAGGCGATGCCAGCCGTCCGACACCTCACCATCTAAATCGCCACCGGTAGGTAATCCTCTATGTCTGCAGTTTGTAGTTCTGTGTGTTTCACTGCTTCACTGTTCACATATTGCTGAGCTTTGTCTGTGACACCTTTCTGGTTGTTACAGGCAGAAGATGTGGAGGAAGTGGAGCCCTACGCCAGCTATGTTCAGCGTGTGAACTCTATCTATAATTCATCTGCAGATTTTTTCACATAAAACCCTGCACATGCATCACATTCACATGGTTAAATGCACATGACTCTGAAGGCTGTGAAACTGAGAAATGGTGAGATAGTAAAGAAAGAGAGGAGTGAGATGAAAGACTTCTGAGAAGGGAGGGAAGTCTCTCAGTTTAAAGTCTGCCCCAAGTTAACTCTTGACTGATGGAACAGGGGATGTATCTGATGTCACACACTGGCTGCACTGCACATGCAGCCCACTACTCTCTCTCTCTGTGTGTGTGTCATGGAGAACATTAATAATAACTGTAGTTACAAATGCAAGGAATTGCTGAATTGGAAAGAATACCGCCTTCAGCCGGAGACTACAGAACGTTTGATGTAATCATGAACTATATGAGTGACAATTATATGAACATTATTATCATTATTATGTTTAACATATATTTGTAGATAAATGTGAAGAGATGCTCACCTTTTAACAGATTCTAGCTTTGGTCAACCCAATACGATCCCAATTAGAAAACACAGCTGTAAAATTGCCTCAAGATAATATTATGTGAGGTATTCATGTAATGTCAAATTATGTAATTGTGTGTATTGAACACACATCCAAATATACTGTTTCCACTGCTAAACTCCACAACATTAAAACGAACACTAAAAATGATTTTTGCTTTTTTTTCCACTGTGGTAATTATTGAAAAAGGTTAAATATCAAGATTACTTTTGTTATCCATTGCAGCAAACTGATACTTGCTTGAACATCCACCCTTTCTCACCCATTTGAATAATATTCGCACCAGACCATCCTTATAAATGATGAGTTTTGGAATTTGAGTCAAGACTCTCATGATGAGTTTAAACCCATTTCTCAAGAAATTGATTAAGAGGAAATGGAAAATAGAAAAAGGACTGTCCTGCCATCTACTGGTGGAGATCAGAAAATAGTGCATCATCATCATCAACATCATCATCATCAACATCATCATCATCATGCATCACAGTCCATGTTTAAAGAGCTGTATTTAACATCCTGAACAATAATATAGCAGCAAACAACCATCATCTATGTAAAGATATCGTGGAGTTATGTCTACCTGAGCAGAGAATGAAGTCGCTCTCTGTATGTATTGATATCCAAGCTTCTCCTTGCTTTGTTGGCATAGCCGGGCCGGCTGCGCGTGCTTTAGGTGCATGTTAGTAGTACATGTGAGATTGCCCTTAGCTCATGGCCGCCACTCTGCACTGCTCTTGTATGGTGGTTACAGCTGATAATGCTGGAAGCGTTACAACCACCCTCCTTTAGGTAAACACTGTTAGCTCTGTCAGCACTTTCGCCAATGTTTGCGCCGTTACTGCTGTTAGCTTTGAGCCGCTGTTGAGAGGCAATCAAAATGCTCCCGAGCCTGTATCATGCATCTTAAAGAGAAGTCTGAATAATACTAATATGTACCCACATGTCCACATGTACATTGAAACAGGTTATGCTTGATGTAACAATTCCCCTGATACACATGCAGCCAGGGTCTCGACTTTCTATTTCAATTCTGCTATTAAAATGGCTGCAGCAACTATAATGTGTCTCAACCTCACACTGATTATTTAGTTGAACAGAAAAGGGGAAGCTGTCAAATGCATTTCTGTCCACAGAACATGACGCACTTGGACTCGCTTAGTTTTTTGCTTGTCTATTTCTGGTGAACATATTCACAGCTCTCTGAAATGTAGCAAAGAACCTTACCGACGGTTTGACCTTGAAAGAGATTATTGCCATGATTTCTCTCAGACGTTTTCAGTGATTCAGTTGATTAATACAACTGAATAATGAACTAATGTGGTAAAAGGGGTTTTAATGACTGCAAAATACCAATGAAACCACAAAGAAACAAATGCAACTTGCAGTAAATTACACCACTTTACTTTTTTATATCCATCCAGTCAAACAAACCCTGAGGCATTTTCAAAATGCTCGTACAAGACATGAAAAATATAAATTCTGAAGCCTTAAATATCTACTTGTATTATATCTGGTGCATAGTTCTCAGGAGCAATGTTACAAAATATTCACAAACTCTGGAAAGCAGTTTGAGGTCTGTGGACAGACTTTTATAAACATTACATTCTTCCATCATGGATTGGATAAAGTGGCAAAGGCCACAACTGCACACACAATTCTACCATTTTATTATACAAACATTTGAGCTACATGTTAGTCTGGGCATAATGCGCGCTGTTATTGAAGTCTGGTTCAGGCATCTTGACGTAGGGTTAAGTTTCTGCAACTGTTTGTCTACCGCACATATACCCCTTGCAAGCTAAAACATTTTGAAGACAAACGTTACAACAAACAAAAGCAAATGAAAATAATTTCAAAATTCAACACAAAGTGGCGTACAGATTAGAATAACGATTCACAGTCATTCAGGCCATGTTGTAACTAACAGCTACTTGCTCTTCAGTTTTAAAGACATTCAAAATAGACATAACCTCTTGCACGAGTGTCAAAAAGTGGCCAAACACCAAAGCTATGTCCAAAATTCAAACTACATACAATATGTATTACATAGTAGTAGAGCACACACCGACGAAACCAATTTAGTTGACAATCTTTTCTGCCAAAGTTTAAAAAGGTGCTATGATATAAAAGTTTGACACATGACAAATGTGATGCAAGTTTGTCTTCTTTAGAAAGGAACAAGACAGTCTTATCAATAGTGAAGCGAAACATGAGGGGGATTGGTGTTTCCGCAACCACCTGCTGTTGACCGTGGATGTCTTTTTCTTCACTTTGTCACAGTTTCTTCACTGAAGATCAAGATTTGATTAACAGACAGTCACTTCGTCCTGTTTGTGCTATCTACGAGTCCTGCATCTTGCAATAGTCCAAATAAACTTCCCCTTGTTTCTATTCACCCCATGAGCACATAATCGTCTGCACCTTCGTCTTTAGATGAGCACTCAGACACACGTTCAGGTTGACGTGCTGCTGGAACATGAACTGTTGCATAGTCACAATCATCATCATCGGTGGCTCTGGTCCTACTTGATCCTTTGGCAGTGCTGTGGTCAATAGAGGCGTACGTTACATCCTCGTGAGGCTGTCATAAGATAATACAAAGAGTAAGATGTAAATCCTGAACATGATTTATGTTACACATCATTATTTATACTTTTTTTCACACAGGACTACTGCAACCAGCACACTCTTTCTTGATGTGGGTTGTGGTTATGACTTCCTGTAACTGAAATAAATAGCCTCACAGTTTCTTTTACAACATAGGCCTCACATTAATGTTCACCCAGTATGCAAATTGAAGGAGGCAGCACCTCTGACCGGGCTATCATAAAAGCACAGGAACACCCCTGTGTCCCATGAAAAGCTGGAGCTGATAACCATGGAGATTTATACTCAACAAAAACAGACTCAACATTGATGTGGGCAGGTCTACCTTATTATGTGTGCTGCTGTTTCCATCTGCTGCATAATCACCTGGAAGAGAAAATGTAAATATATAACATCACACACAGCAAAACTGTATAAAGTCTGTCCATAATAAATGTACTTTTACCTGTCCTGTTCTTCTTTATTCTGACAGTAGAACAAATGATGAAGACCACAATGAAGATGCAATCATCCAGAGCATTGAACAGAACAATAAAACCAATTAGTGTGGAGAAAATAAAATGACTGAGAATGTTAGTTTAACTTCCAGAGGCTAGAGGCGTATAGGTTTTTTACCCCACAGCAGTATTTGACAGTTTAAAAGATGCCGTTTGCTGCAACAGGAAACACTTCAGATATGCAACCCACATCTATCTGTGAGCAACTGTGTACTGTATGTCAGCCACTAACAGCACAGGTCGTGGAACTTTCCATGCTTCTAGGTCAACGTCAACATTTTACAACGATACAAACTGCACTGTTATATACTGTCAATTCTTTAAGTTGGACACTGAGTCTGTTCTTATCACGACTATTTCCGCAAATACACAAGCTGCTTAACATGGGGCCAAAATACAACAATGTTTCATTTAAACACGTGCTTCCAGCTCTTTTATATTCTTTTTAAAAAGTGGTCTTTCCCACAGTTTCTTTTAATGCTATCAGTCTTGTTTTAGGTTGTCAGTATATACACCTAATCACCACCTGTTGAAAAATTGCTCTGACGCATGTTAGGGTGCCTTCTACTCTGCGCATCTAAGGATGATCACTTACCTTGAAGTGCAATTTCCCATGATGTGCCCACAGAGTCTGGATGTTCACACTGTATTCGTCAAAAGGCGGCAGGTTCATGTGCTTGGTTGCTGTTGCAACACTCAGCCTGACAGTGCTATAGTCACTGATATCGCTCTGCTGCACATGGGCTGGAGAGAGAGAGAGTGAGAGGTGGGGGTGGCTGTAGATACCATCCTCAGCCTTTTGTGTGCCAACACACACACACACACACACGCGCACACACAAACACACAACACAGCCCAGTCCAGCAATTTTTACATAACAAAGTGTCCCAATAAAAACTGTTGGAGGTGATGCCTGTGGAGTTGTCATCACTTTGAGATGTCTCGAAACATCTGCAAGTAAAATCTAAATTCTCTGCATATCTATATCACAGGGGCTAAGCCGATCTAGGAGTAGAACTCTTGTTGCTGTCGGCTCTTTTGCATGATTGTGCAAATTTTCTTGCTGAAGAATATGAGGAAGTCACTGATATTTCTCTCCCGTATAAGGTGGAAACTCGGTCCTGTTTACTTCACAAACTGCGTCTATTTTAAGATTAACAGATCTTTATGGATGTAATGATGATCATTCTGTGAGATTTCTTTAACATGTAAAATGCAGTAAAAGCAGTTTTGTAAAGTCTAAAAAAAGCAACTTCGAATGATGACGTTCACTGTTTTAAGTTTTGATCATTTCATCTTTCAAATATCAGATGTTTGATAGTCGGTACATTTTAAGAAAACGTACACTAATTCCATGTACTGAATTGCAGCAGATGGTATCACGTTGTACACTGGAGGGCACTGTTGGAGCAGCCCGAGTGATTCTCAAACCACCGAGCAGGAACATGGCCTCAGTCTACTACAGAAAGGTAAAATGGCATCTGGTTGTATTATTTTTAAAAAGCAAGGAATAAAAAACACTGTACAGTGCCATCAATCAAATACATTCACATCCACCAATCATCCACACCTGTGACGAAAACAAATAATGGTTCGTGTATATTTCACTTTTTTCATCCAAGGCTCCTGAGCCACTTTAGGATAGCGTAGGAGTGTTGTTGGTTGAGATGATGAAACTGCGTCCCTGGAAAGTTGATCTCCAGTTCCCTGACAAGAAGCGTCAAGTTCACTCAATAATCTTGATAACTATGTGTCTCAGTTTGTGCACTGAGAATGACCTACATCTGTTTAAATAAGTGTTTCTGTAACCATGTGTTGCAGAATCAAATTGCAAGAGATAATACACAATAGCAATTTTCACTTGTGTGCACAGCATCAACTGTGTCTTGCCATGACATATTGAAATACACACATGCAGGGTGGTCTTTGAAAATATGTTGGAGGACAGGAAGTGGTGAGCTTGTCACAAGTGAAGTGAGCCCATGCAGTAGCTCCACTTTTAGAATATCCGTAAGGTGTTAGGTCATGAACACATCAAGTCTCATGGATGGACTGCGATACACCTACCTGCTGACATTATGCTGTTCTACATTTGTCTGCATCTATGGAAAAGGTCAAGGTAAGCCTAAATACTGTTGTGTTGTGATATGACTTTCAAGAGGGCATGACGGTGCATTTTGAATAGATTGGAGTCATTAAGTGATTAGTTAAGTCATTGAGTCTTTAACAGTCACTCTTTTGATTACAGCCCATAAATTACAGTGTAATTATTTAATATATAGTTATCAATACAGTTATTGGGCAACGATGTAACTACAAGGGAGGAAGACGGCAGGTTGGTGAATGAGGGGGTACAGACTTTGTGTTTCAGAGGGACTTCAATTCATGACGCGGGAAGAATTGTTTAAAAAAGTGCACGCAGTGTTGCAATTAAAATAATAATGTAATAATTAAAGAAATAATCATGTCAATTGCATAGTCTTTAGATTGGTTCTGGTGTATTTTGAAAATGTAACTACATTTATTGCATAAAAGAACAAATCCAACATACTGTCGATGTTTTTGTGAGAATGTACTGTATGAGGCACTTTGTTATGATGATGAACAGCTTTGAGACAAAGATGTTTGATCTGATGTTAATGATTGAAGACAAGCCACTAGCGATGAGTTTCGGGTGAAACGTGATTTTGTTTTTTTTTAGGCTTGTTTCCGTGTGAAGTTGAGCTGATGGTCTGGAGAGGGACGACGCTGAAAGCTGTCCCGCAACAACCTCTGACAGTCAGGTGTCCTGTCAAACACTGTGGAGAATCACTGAATGTCACCTGGTGTAAACTGCTCGACACAAACAAATGTGAACGCATTCATTACACAGAAAACGTAGAAATAAGACAGAACGACAAACGTGTTGAGGGTGAACTGATCTCATATTTGACTTTCACGCGGATTTCCATTGATGATGACGGCCTGTACAGATGTACTTTAAAAGGATACAAAGATGAGTTAATCAGTCACAACATCAACATCTCAGTTTCAGGTAGGCAGTTTTTCCTCCCTCAGTGCCAAAATATAGATTTATTAGACGTCAAAATTCAGGTATAAATTGTATATATTTTCTATTATTTTACAGATTTAAACCAGGGTGTAAAGATCTCTGACTATAATGAAGGTAAGAAGCTTTATTTGTTGAACTACATGCATACATTTTAACGGATAAAGACTGGAACTACTGATGTGGTTCTTCTTCTTCTGTAGATGAGCTACCAAGCGCTGATGATGAGGATGATGATGATGAGGATGTGCCTTGGCTGCCCTACTTTTTCATCTGTGTTAGTATAGCTCTTCTGGTTGTCACACTGACAGTGTTAACCCTCCTGAGGTGTTATGGCTGTAAACGTAAGAACATTAATACGTGCTCACAGTCAATTAATGCAACATTTCTACTTTTCAACGCTAACAATAGAGAATTTGTTTTATGTCTTCTGCACAGGTCAACTGAACCACACAGAGGGACAGGTAATGCAGGTAACGCATTTTGGCTAAAAAACATACTGACTTTCTTGCTGAGAGTTAGATGAGAAGATTGCCACCACTCTCTTCCTGAACGCTCATATGAAGCTACAGGCAGTAGCCAGCTGGCTTAGTTTAGCTTAGCATCTCTAAATCACACTAATTAACACCTTATATATCTTGTTGGTTTAATCCAGATTACTGGCAGCTGCAGTAGTGGCAAGAAGTAGTCCAGCATCATGTAAAATCATGTGTTGTTTTCGTACTTTTTTGTTGTTGTATGGATTAGACAAAGAACATATAGTCTAATGTGTTAACCTGCAAATGCATCCTCATTTAGCAACTCAGCAATATACAACACTTTATAAGCACTTTACTGGTAGGCGATATGTTACCTTTGGACACAGCAAGGCTATCCACTTTTTATGCTAAGCTTAGCATAAAAAGGATTTTAGTTTCATTTAGCCTACAAACAGGAGAGTGGTATTGATCTTTATCTAACTCTAACATTACAAAATGTCACACTAGTACCATTACTTTACACCTGTGCACACTCAAGCATTATCTATTTAAGATCACTGTTTGTGAAGGTCTGGAGGGACAGAAACATTACTATGATCAATAGATTGTGATGCTGAGCAAAAGCAGTGATGGGATCTTCTTTTCTCAAAAACTAATCATTTAACCCAGATGTTGAAGAGTCATAATGGTGTCAAGTAAGAGTATTTTATTTCATCTTGTTCTGGTGTTTTGGTGTCATAGGAAAGGTCCACTCACATGATACCCGACCTCCCCATTATCCTGCATTACACCTGCTCTCCAAGTACTGCAAAAAGACCACCATCACAAGCTCCCCCGATGGCAAACACAGCAGATGAAAGTCGAGTGTCAGACCGTGTATGCTGTCGTCAACCACCGACAGACTGAGATACCTGTCAGATACCAGAACAGCATGCTGAGACTACACAAAAATAAAAACAAAGGATACGCTGCCTTCAACGTTTGCTGAATATTTTGGATCAGTCACATTTGACGAATACATGGATGGAAAAATGTACTCAAGTATGTGGTCGTGTCATGGAACACGGGCCAAGAAGTTAAGCGATCAACCACACTGCAGAAGAGGTGAACGGAGGAGGCTTGTGGTCCCACAGATGCACACTATGTTCATCAACTTAACCCGGCTAGACCAGAAGCAGCTTTGAACTTATTCTCTCACGCTCAGGTTTTTTCCAGGCAAAGCTTCTTTTTATTATTAATTATTTTTTTAGTTTTTTTTTTCTCCTACAATCATTTAATTTACATGACTTAGAGGGCTTTGTTGACTTGGCTAACTTTGTTGTTCGAAGCTTTGGTGGGTTGTTTAAAAATGCCAGTGGGTAAGTAGATTAGTTGCATTCTTCTGTCTTTTGGTATGAGGACTGACGTTTGGGAGGCGTCTATATCTGTTAAATAAATTCCAGTGTTGGCTGATCTGTGACTGTTTGAATGAATGTGGTGTCCTTGCTATTTATTTCAGTCAGTAAGGTGACTATTTAAATATCTTAAAGAAAGAATCGTTTGGCCAGCTCATCCTATAGTTCTACGTGGAAGAATCCTAATACTCTCAGAGACTGAGAGATGACATTTTGAGCAAATTTACTTACTTCATGAAGCTGGTATTTTGTCTCACACATTTCCTGTCCCACACAGCTCTCGGTGTTTTTCACTACCACCAGCGGAAATGCTGGAGCGGTTCCCTCGACCACACCGGTGTGGTCTAAGTTCAAATGTGCAGAAAGTCAAAAATTGAAAGATTTCTTGACATCATTTGTGATGACAGATGTCCCACCTGTGCTCAACCACTCTGTAGTTCGAGCAGTAAAACCTATATAGCCATTTCTTGGGATGGTTTGCAGCAACAATAAAAAAACAGTTGATGAATGTTTGAATGCATGGCTTAGCTCTGTGGTCAGTGTTTAAAATGTTATCATTAAATTATATCTTATCAAGCTTCAATTAGTAAAATTAAGTTGTTTGCTTTCATGAATTAACAATGTTAGCTGCGAAATCTTGCTGAAATTTGGGGGAATAACTGGAAAACAAAGTCACACATTTACATTTTGAGTAATCGATTAGATTACTACAATAAATCAGAATTCCATAATATTTTTTCCAAGTCAAATTATTTCTGCATCTCATTTGCAATCTGAAAGATGACAAAATTGAGAACAGAATCAGAACATCACGGATTGCTCACCTCATAAGACCTTAAATCACTCATCACTGCCCATCATGCTGATAACATTATTCAGTTTCCTTTAGATGATGTCCAGTAGGCCACAGTGTTTCTTGTGTTGTAATCAATTTAACGGTACTCACAAAAGGTCCTTTGACTCAGAAATGGCATGTGGAAAATGTCATGAAATGCTTCTGAATAATGTGACCTGACTTTTATGTTTCGTACAGAATAATCACTGGAATGCATACTCAGGAGAGGAAGGAAGGTGAAAAGTTGAATGTAGTCTACATTCTGTACGTGGGTCCTGAACATCCTGTGAAATGACTCAGTGAACTTCTTTTCTCTGGTGGACAAAGCCCTGGTTCAGGCAGCAGAGAGATGGAGAGCGTGGAGTCTTGTGCGACGTCAGCGTTTGAGATGGGCCTGATTAGATCGAGCCTGACGTCACTTACAGAGTGTGTGGACACTGCAGCATTTCTACTTAGAAATCATCTGATGAAGTGTGGAGGAGTGCTGAATACTTGTGATCCTATACTCCAAAATCCCTCCAGAAACATGCCCTCTTAGATGCCCACAATGTCGATAAAACATAATGCTCTCGAATGCTCTTAAAGGGAGAAAGCGTGACAAAGTTGCCTTGTAGGGTGCTGCTCCAGTAGAGAAAACGTGATGAAGCGTCCTCTAGGGGGCCTTTCTAGTAGAGTTAATAAATAAGTGGATCAGTTGTGATTTATGATTTAAAAAATGATCTTTAATGAACAGTGAGTGGGTAATGTGAAGTTAAATAACACATGTTTAGCTTTAACGTATTGTTTTAGATTCCACTTTGATCCGTAGCAACAGAAAGTGAGCAGGCAGGGTTTTAGGGTTTCGTTCAAGGACACTTTAATGGAGTAGAGTGGCTCTTTTGGAGGTTTAACCTGCTGCCCCAAAGCAACAGGAAAATTTGTGTAAATGTATTATTAGCGGGTCTTGTAATGTACACTCACAATAAGCAACACATCTGAACTCCTCACCACAGCCTGACATATACACGTATTCTCTTTTCTCACACACATGAACTCGCCTGGTTGTAAAATGCAGACAAGCAATGAAACATACCTTTCAGTAGAACAAAGGAGGTAAGAGTTGCATCTTAAAGGAATAGATTTCTAAACCATCTGAGTGTGTAATTTAACCCCCCCCACACACACACATATTATATCCCACCACATACAAATATGTGATTTGATTGAGTGTGTGGTCTACAGTACTGCAGCTTAGAAACCCTTCTAAGCAGGTGAGCCAAATATGTGATCCAAACTGTTAACATCTTTTATTTTCAACAACCATGATATTGGTAGCTGATTGAGTTTTTCCTGTGCTGAGTTAACAGAACTAATAAATACTGTATATTGTATTAATACATCAGAAGAGAACTGGCATGCGCTGCAGGCTCAGTGAGTGAATATGTGTGCTCAACATGTGTGTGTGTGTGTGTTTTCTTTGCTCTGCGAGGTCCATCACCATCCATCTGGCTTTTGATGAAAAAGGCACCAAAAAATGAACATCTGGCAGCAAGGTTTGGCACATCAGAAAATAATTTCATGTTTTTCTGAGAGGTACAAAGCTGATCTGAAAAAGCTGTAAGAGTGGCAATGAAAGATTCTAATTTGATAAAGCTTCAAAAAAGTATACTTTTGAAATATCTTTATTTTTCTATTTGTTGCATTCATTACATACACTTTACGTAGTCGGTCATAATGCATGATTTCATATTTTCTTGACTGTAGTTGCTCTGCTACAGGGCCAGATACATTTTAATGTATTTCCAACAAATGTTCTGAAACCACATTTCCACATCCATAATTATTCTAATGTATAAACTCTGAGCTTATAATCAGTGTTGTATGCATAGTGAAGCTCTACTGACAGAGGAATGCTGCCTAAAGTCTTGTTAATGGTGAGGAATGTGATGAGCCCAACTGAAGCAATAGGTTTGAAATCTGATAACCAGCATCTCCTTCTGTTCATAACTGACCGATTCATATGCTTTGATATACAATAATATTTCATCATAAAGCTTACATTGTACACTGTACAGATGCAAACATGATATAACCTAATATCTTCACTATATTGTAGGCATTTAGGTGCCACTTTGATCCAGAGCAATGTACAAATGAGCATTTTGGCATTTAACCATTATCAAACCCCTAAACCAATTCTCCACACCCCGACCTGTGTACTCACGAAGGCAGCAAGACATGCATTCCTTTCAGGGGCACCAAAAAGGTTTCAGTGTTGCTTCCTCGGGAAATTGATTCAAGCTACCTGACCGTAGAATTTAACCCCTAACCAATAAGCACACACACACACACACGCACACACACGCACACACACGCACACACACACACGCACACACAGGCACACACACACACGCACACACAGGCACACACAGACGTTGAAACATGTAGAAAAGTTTGCAATAGATATTACACAAAGAAGACATAAGTATACATCCCTCTTAGTTGAACAAGTGAAGACCTCACCCAGCTTTAACAATATACAGAAGTGACGTAGGCCTTCGGCTGACAAGTAAAACCTTAATGGTGATCTTATACTTTCAATTAGCTTTGTTATTTAAAGGATACAGCTCACCATATTCTTTATTTTTCCTACTGAAAAACAAATCCCATTAAAATACAGAAAAAGGTGTCCTCCACAATGCTAGTTTGTCAGGGGAACTACTGTAACTAAGATGTGAGCCTTGAATGAAATAATCATTTTTTTAAGGCACTGTAGTTTTTAACAATTATTACTGAAAGTCTGCTAAACCGGATATTTGTTGGGGACTATTTTCAGCTGTATATTAATTACAGTGCCCATGTTCTAGTCATCGGTGCGTCACGTAGCTCATAATGAGTTTTTGTTAACAGTTTTCGAACAACAATGCAGGGCCATGCTGTATCAGACTGTTACACAGACTATGGTTGTTACTGGAATCAATTCATTGTTGGTTTTAGTCTTTTCATAGGATTTGTTGAATAAGAAAAATGTATTATCACCACACTTATCCTTTCAGGACCAGGTAAAAGACGGAGACAAACAGAGGGAAGTATTTAAAGGACAATATTGGACTTTAATTTGCCACAGAGTGACTCTGCTGTATGTTGTAGAGAGTGTGGCCATCGAGTCAATCAGTTACAGAGCCAGAGAGAAAATGTTTCCTTATTGACTTCATGTGAGGACAGCCTGGAGATTATATAAGAGTCGGGGGCAGAGGCAGAAGAGATACATATCATTGTACAGTTGGCGTTCATGAATAGGATTGTATTTGTCATCCTATAGATGTGTGTCAGAACATCTTCCCTTTGTACCAAGATGATGATGATGATAATGATGATGATGATGCAGAGGAAACAATTCTGCAAAGGTTGACTCTGAGAAACACTGCCCCTTCTTTTCAGCGTCTGGTCTCCTCTGAGAGATTAATCAGCTGAAAAGAAATACATGGAGAACAATGAGACAAATGGAAGAACGCATTATATATTTAACTTTTTTGAAAGTTCAGTGTTTTCTCATATTCTTGAGAATAGTTTCTCATAAATTTTCAGGAAGAAAAATAAGATTTCAAATGCGCTGTCATGCTACGACAGCATGACAGCGCTATTAATGAGGACCATCAAATTCAGATGCAAACCTGAAACCGTTTGACTGCTCTGTAAAAAATCACCAAGAGACATACTGAGACAAAATGGTACGGCAAACTATTATGTCTTAGCTGTAGGATCATACAAAGCAACAATTGCATTGTGATGGTAACATTTTCTGAGCTAATACAATACATGATCTGGAGTGATGAAGTCTGGATAACACAGTTATAGTTAAAGCATTTTAGCAAATTACGTTTCAACATGAAGCCTTTATCGGAGTAAGAGGCGGCAGTGGGAGAAGGGTCCGATGGCACACCTCACATATGAGGAACGTCTCCTGTGTAAAAGTCTGCTGTAAGTAAAATAGAAATCAAGAAAGCCACACATAGATGTTATAAAGACGTTTGTAATTAACATTTGCATGTGTGAAAAAAAAAATAGTGGAGTAATTGAGTCGAATCCAATTTAATGCCAACACTAAACGTCAGTTTTCTAATGTGCTGTCAAGGCTAGGTGGGCACCAGAGCTCATCACTCCAGATCCTGTATCAGTTGTCCTGTCTATTAAGGCACCAGATTGAGCTCTGCTTAAGCTGATGTGCTGCCTGTGTACAGTGTTATTCTGTATCGCACTAGTAATGCCATGGATGTTTTCCTTCCTGCAGATAGAAAACATTGATTGGACATGCGAATAAAGTGCAGATGGAGTGCAGGTATAAAAAAACAAAAATGAAGTTAAGAAGGCAGTCATGTTCTCAGGAGTTAGATGATATAAACACAATATCATGTGAATGAGGAGCAATGTTGTTAGCTCCAGTTGACTTGAACAACCTCAGAAAAATGCTGTGTCTTTAATGCTGCACTATTTTCACAAGCTAGTTTGTTATTTGGTTTATCGCAGCTTTTGGTTTTGTTGAAAACAGCCGCTTGTTGCAGCTAAAAGAGACTAAAAGGCTCTGTAGAGTTAAGGAGAAATGGAGACCCCCTGTTAATATAAAAAACATTGATTAATGCAGCTATAAAGTTACAGAGCCTCTCTAAACAGTATATGTCATGTAGCTTGCTTCATATGTTTAGATAAGGATGCTAGTTTTCCAAAAACGATCTAATATTGTTTATTCAATGTCTTTGTTCTTTGGTGAGAATCAACAAATGTCATTTCTCACAAGCCCGCAGCGTCACACCTCAACAAAAGAGGTCCATGAGAGAGGAAGTAAATATTGTTTAACTTTGTTCAATCACAAAGCTTTTCATTTCTTATTGCAACTGGATGGGGATTTGTCTAAAGTAAACTCCAGGAAGACACTTGATTTTTTTCCCCGAAAGACAGAAATACTGACTGCGCTGAGCCACAGAAGAAAGAGGAACAGAAGCTATTCCGTCAGTGTTGCAGCACATCCCTTCAGGGCCACTGTTCCTTGTACACGCCCAGGTTCTGAAAGGTCCTAAAAATGTGTTTTTATTGATCTTCTTAAGAGAATGATAGTTGTGATTGTGAATCTGTAGACATTTTCCCAAATAAGCCAGGAGAGCAAGGTCAGCTTCAGGAAAGGTACAGTACTACACAAAAAGTGCCACAAAATCATTCCCAGCTTAATCTATACCTCTGATCACCGTCAGTTAACATAACGGGAAATAAATAAAGTTACAATCCTGTGCCCTTGTCTTAATTGTTCACTTATCTCTTGCTGTATGCCAAATACATGTCAACAAAGGTGGAGTATTCCTATATCAAAATGTCTCCTTTCTCGTCCTGTAAAAGATGAAAATATTCTTGTCAACTCATCTGGAAGTCTGGGTCTTTTATATAAATGTATCCAATCAAATCTGATTCTGGATTCTGGACTAGCTACCACATCCACCATATAAAACTGCTACTGGCCATTAGCAAGTAGTTGGTTGTAGGTAACAAATTGATCACTGGTGTTTTTTGGTTGAGATGTAATCTATTAATCTCTCCCTCATTCTCCACCGCCTAATCTCTAAATACAGTGCGGTGTGAGTGGAGGCACCATATTTTTGAGATTGACAAGAATTATCTCCCGACTGTCCTCTGCACATCTCTATCTAAATGGCCTAAAGGGTGTGTAGATACAAGATGTTACACTTGACAAGATCACTTGTTCGTGACAAATAGGATCTCACCTTCTTTGTGCAAGAAACACTTCCAAAGGCAGAAGCAGAGGGACATGACCAACAGGGCAGCCACCGTAGTGACAGAGATCAGGATGGTGAGAGCCGTCCCAACTAGGAGGGAGAAAAAAAGTGAAACGATCAGCAGTTTTATTATCTTCCATATTTCTATAGACTGCAGTGTGCAGATCCCAGCCTTGCAGAAGCCAGAGTCATGATACGTGTTGGTACTGTAAGGCCTGTGCTAGTCTAGACAATGCTTCCCTTTTATGGACCATCAGTGATTAGATCTGAGATTTAATTCACAGTGTTACCATCTGATCTCAGAGTTTAGTTCAGCAAACTAAAGCCATTAATGCACTGCCATTACCTACTGCCCATCATTAGCTGCAATAAAACAATACAGATTTTTGTTTTAGTAAAACTAATTAAATTGTATAATTGTTGTACATGGGACATTGCACATTTGAGACATAGGATTAGTAGAACTGGCCTTTCCTTATAGTGTGAAGGCAAAAGTCAGACCGCCGTCCTAATAGCTCCTAATGAATTGAATTTAACAAAGCAACAAATTGATCATCTTCGTCAGCTGTCAAACAAACATCACATATACGTGACAAAGTATGTCTCTATGGAAAGGGCCAAAATAGAAAACCAAAACACTGAAAACAAAACAAAACAAAGATTCAGTACAATGTAACATTTTAGCTTTCTGGTGTTTATTTGACAGTTCTCTGATCGGTACGGTACTCTGTTAAATTAAATTCAGTGTGAGTATCAGTACAATGTGCAGATCTTTTTTCTGACTTTGGTTTTCAGATTGTTGTTTTTTTATCCAGCATCTGTCTAAGTTTTTTTGGGATGTGCACGCTACGTGTCCTTTACAGTCGCCAATGATCTCTGCTTTCTTTAGTATTCTTAGTAGGTTTCTTATTCCAAAGATATCTCATGTGATGAGGGCATCAAGAACTTAGAGTATGCCAGAAAAAATAAAGAAACAATGCTTTATTGAGGTCAAGTATCTCATTGGAGCAAAGGTTCACCGAGACCAACTCACTTTTAGTGTTCATGGATACAGCAATCGGTGACTCAAGCCCTTTGTGGTGCACCAAGCATTTGATGGACACATCTTTCAGCAGCCCAGATCGGACAGTCAGCGTACTGATGACCAGAGTGGTCCCATCGCCCTGTGGGAGCTGTGTTGTCACAGGGGGGCCCATGGTGCGGTTATCCCTCTCCACGTTCCACACTATCTCTGCTGGGGGCCGTGACACTGAGGTGCAGTTGGCTTCGATCACACCGGGAGAGGTGGTCTTGTAGCTCACCTGAGGTTTGGGCAGCACTGGGAGAAATATCCAGAAAAAACTAGAGCAATCACAACACACTGGCATACACTTACACAAATAAACTCATACTAGACGTATATGGCACATATAAAATGCACTGTGCCAATAATGTATTCTTCTCTATTATCTTGTGCTGTGTGTGAAATACACAAGCCAGAAAACTCTGGAAATAGTATCACATGACAATCAAACACTGAGGACTGGCATATGAAAATTGTTATGCTAATCCCGATTGTAGTTTAGTTTGTATTGTACATGCTCGAAGTGTCTTTGGGTAAATTGCTAAGATAATACCTGAGAAAAACCTTAAAGCCTTTGATCAGGTAGGAATGTGAATTCCTCTACTCGAGTTCCATAAGTAAATCTCTGGCTGTTTTCAATTCTCTGTTCTCGCTCTGAGACTGAGCAGGGAATGTGAGGCACTGGAACCGAGAACATTTTTGTTGGCAAGAACTATGTTCAGCCACAGATATTCAGCCCTCGTAGTTTCAGCGTCTTCTCGGAGTTCTAGTTGGTGAGCTTCACCCTCCATCGGTCTGGATTGTATCAGATTTCCACAACAGGAAAGAATCTTCATAACAATCCAAACCATAATGACCTGTGAGTGAGCACAAAGCTGGTGTGAAAGTTGACTGTTTGCGAAAATGAAATTCCACAGACTTTCCTCACGATATTTCTCACTATAAAGCTCCGTAAAGCTGAGGGTAGCTGCATATGTGGGTGATCATTTTCTGTAAGTTCATCACTATTTCTGTTTCACTTTGAAGAAACACATTTTACTTTAGTGACTTACTCCAGATGTAAATGTTGCGAGATCATGTGCCTTTGCATGTTTTATCTATCGCTGTGTGTGGACAGCATGTGTGAGAGAGGGAGTAAAGGAGGGGGCGTTGCATCATCCAGGGTGGGATGAGGGTGGAAGACTGTTGGCAGCCGTACACAGCAAGAAAAAATACAAAATGTTAATGCTAATCGTGCTTCACTACTAGAAACACCTACTGTACTGTACAGTTCAATTTCAAACAAAAGCGCAACTGTTTGTTGAGATGACTGTGAGAGAAAGGGAGCAGGAGAACATGAGCAAAGAGAGAGACAAAGCACAGAGGGGATCTCTGTCTGCTGCAAACACTGACACAGTCATGCATCCGGACCTCACTCCCTGCCTCCATCATTCTTTCGAATGCTCCATTCTTTACATGGACACACTCTTCTGTGTTTGTGTGTTAACAAATCAGCGCGACAGCTTAGCCTTGCTATATCATGAAAACATGCAGCAGCTACCATCGGGAAGAAAAAACAAAAACATTCCTGTCTAAATCCAAAGGGGTACCTGTCTTTCCTGCAGACACAAAGCCAAAATTGGGTCTCTTTGAATTCACGCGCATGTCTGACTCCATCATCCCCCACAAGATCATTTCTAGTCTTTCTAGCTCCCACATCTAACATAGTCACTCACTACTACACCTCTGCAAAAATATGCATCTGAACAACTCTTACTTCTATATCTTAAAAAAGAAAAAAATTGCAAGTGAGGTTAACATAAAAGTGACATTTTTGTGAAACAAAGCAGCACAGGAGATGACTGTAGTGACAACAAAAGCATTGACAACAAATCAATTTATCTGCCTTGAATGTCAGCTTTTAGCAGCATGGCTTTAGAGATGGACATGTGGGTCAGTCTGTTGGTCCTACACTTAAGTCCAGAATAAAATATGTCAATTAGATGGTTTGCCATGAGATTTTGTGTGTAATTTGATACAGAAATTCAGTAAGACTTCTGATAACATTGTTGATCACTGGACAATTAATTTAGCACCACCAACAGGTCCATATTTTCAATCAAAGAATGCCTCAACAACAAACAAATTAACTCCCATCAGCCTGATATGTATTTTGTGAGTAAAGGATGGATTCTGTAATTTTTTTGAAAAGCTAATATGAGGCTTCAGTAGTCTGAGTTAATCAGATAAAGTGGGTATCTGTCTGAGTTTTCACAGACAGTGTTTCCTTGCTGAACCACTGCAGATGGATTTTGGTTAATTAAAGGCCGATCGACCCGGTCACGGCTGTTTTCTGTCCTGGTCCCACAATGGTGGAATGATCTCCCCACTGACGTCAGGACAGCGGAGTCGCTGCCCATCTTTCGACGCAGGCTGAAAACTCACCTCTTCAAGAAGCACTAGCCTGAGCCTTGCACTTAACACTTATTGTATTCGTATTAGTTTGTTTCACTTATTGTATTGGTTTGTTTCTGAACTGTACTTATGCTCTGGTTGATGCTTGTTTAAAAAAGGAGATGCACTTATGACTTCTGGTGACTAGTAGTTCTCTTAAATGCCTACGTTGAATACACTTATTGTAAGTCGCTTTGGATAAAAGCGTCTGCTAAATGACTGTAATGTAATGTAATGTAATGTATTATTTGTTTCCAGTCTTTATGCTAAGCTAACCTAACCGGCTGCTGGCGGTAGCCTCATATTTACCGCACAAACACGAGAGGGGTATCAATCTTGTTCTTTAACTCTCTGCAAGAAAGAGAAAAATTTCCCAAACTATCAAACTATTCTTTTAAAATGTCATTTTAGAAAAGTATCCTTTAATCCAGCCTGATGACCTTATTCCTGCTCAATACAGTAAAGAGAAATCTCACTTTTTATAACACAAGCATTGACTGATAGACGGTATGTACACTATATTATACATAACCTGCTCTTTCCTCAAGGAGTTTTCCTCACCTATTCGGCTTCTGTGTGGGCCATACTTTTACATAATGTAATATATGATAATCATCAATAATGGGAGGTGTGTAAAAAGAAGTTTACCATAGGTGACGAGGCAAACTGTGGACGTCTTCGGCCCGTCGAGATGTGTGTTGTACAGGCAGGTGTAGCAGCCCTCATCCTGGATAGCGACAGGCTGGATGGTGAGCTGACTCTCTGACAGAGAGGCACTCAGCCAGACTCTTCCCTGGAACGATGGCTCTATCATGGGGTCGCTCCGCTTTGCGAAGGAGGCCACCTCTGTGGAGTCACCTTGTGCAGACGTGTGTTTCCATATGATCTGTTGAACCTTCTCAGGCAAACCGTAGGAGCACGAGAGGGAGGCCTTCTTGCCGCTCACTGCTGTCTTGTTGCTTTCAACGGTGACTTGAGCTGGGATTAAGAAAAGAGCCCACCATCCAGTGGAAGAATGACGGATGAGGAGAAAAGACATAAGAAAAACAACAGGGGGACAGAGAGTGAAACACAGGACAATATTCAGAAATACGAGGGGCCCAAACAGAAACCAGTCACTGGAATCTGGAACAGCTGTTTCTGCTTAGAAAGATGAGCCCCCCTTCTCTTCCACTGCTGCACTGCTCTTTATTAATATGGCCGACTGAGCCTCTGAAAGGTTAGGAGGGGTTACATATTTCTCAGTAAATCCCCAGAGCGGATTGATATTGAGGTTGGAGGGAGGAGTAACTGTCTCTGGAGTCTTCTGGAGTATTGGTTTTGTTTCATTTTAAAGGGCGGGGGCAAAGGGCAGACTTCCAATATCAGCTATGCCACCTTCACGTAACATTGTTTAAAATGTAATTACGAGCAGCAGAGCGGGAAAAACTGTTTGCGTCAGCCTCCAATTTGTAATTCACACCCACACTGACGATAACTTTCATAGAGCCGTCAACAAACTGTTGGCAAAGTGGCTGCAAATCTATATTACTAACACTAATACAATAGATGCAGCTGATTTAAAAGAAATATAATTCCTCAAACTAATAAACAAATGGATGTGAATGACACTGACGCCTGTTTCAAACAGAGGCCAGATCTCATTCAGGTGTCCGATTCTGGATAATTGAGCTCCTCGATATATCTGTACGGCTGATATCAGTCTCCCTTCTGCGTGTCACCGTGATCATTACTCATCCTGGCCTCACGTGGATGCTTCTCCCATCTGGTTCAAGAACTTCACAACCATGTCACAATAGCAGAGACACTTCCTGGAATTTATCATGGGCCAAAAAATACCTCATGTTTCATCTAAAGCTGTCCTCTCAGGGTTGAATAAATGTCAGAGACCCGCATATTGTTTTTGCTTCATCCCTGCATTTCTAGCTCTCTAACAGGCCAGCATGTCGTAACAGTACATGGTTTTAAACCTTGGCACTGGAGAACCAAGAACCTATATGCTGATACTCATTTTAAATTGCTCTCAATATAGGCACCAACAAGATTAGACATTCATCTTGTCTAAACTGTAACTAATTGCGTCCTTGTTTACAAAATTTGTGGTCATTACAGGACTTACTCACAGGTAACAGTGAGGCACGTCTGTCCCTGCTTTGAACCGGAAGGATGCATGTCAAAGATGCAGGTGTAGCAGCCTTCGTCACGGAAACCCACCCTACTGATGGTGATGGCTGAGGTGTCTTTTGGGGAGGAGGCGAGCTCCACATACTGCTGTCCACTCACACTGTCTTTGTTGCCGGGTTGGTAGCTTAGCAGGGTCTGGTTTTGGACGTCCAGCCAACGCACCTGCCTCAGAGACTCACCTCGTTCCCTCAAGACACTGCAAGTGAGAGTGAAGGGCTTCTCCACTGGAGCTTCTAAACGCGCTGATGCTGTTACCCTTCCTGAAACACCTACCAAAATAAAAAAACAATAACATTATAATATGTATAAAAAAAAACCACATAATATATACTTTGGTGTGATATGAGTTCTCGATGTCAGTTGTTTGATGTATTGTTATCATGGCAGACTCACCCTGTAGTCTTCCCACCATCAGGAGGATTAAACACACCTGCACACCTTTCCTACAGGAGGCCTGGATCATCATCTTCTTCATCACTCATTTAACAGGGAGGAGAAAGAGCGGTACTGAGAATGTCACAAGTAACAGTCAGCCCAACATGAACTCAAACTCTCCTTTAAATTATATAGCTGGTCACAGTGATACAGGAAGAACTTTGAAGAGTCAGAATTTTCCTATACTCCGAGAGAGAATTCAGCTCATGAGTTCACTAGATACTGTTTAACACATTACATTGCATAAAAACATCCAGAAAACTATTCAGTGGGAGGAAATGCAATGCAAAAGAAATCCTCATGTGCTATACCAATATATTTCAATATTCAATACAAAGCTATTCATATGAGAAATAGATCAGAAATAAATTATCCTTGGGTCTCATAGTTATCAGAGCTCTTTAAAATGTGAACAGATTTGTTTTCTGCCACATCACTGACTACTTGCAATGGACATAAAAGCAGTGTATAACATCATAACATCATAACATCATACATATAACATCATACAGCAGCCATTTTTGATTTAGGCTATATTTTCTATTCTATGTCACAAACATTATGACATGAATTATGACACTCACCTACTTGTCCTAATGCAAAAGGTAAAAGCCAACGGTTGAAGATGTTCTACCTCTGCAACATCTTGTACATCCTTATAACCCAGCAGTCTTTCGAAACATCACTCCAGACCAAGCGAGAAACTATTTTTACTCCTCCGTGTGTTTTCTGTTCTGCGCCCCTTCAGCACAATGAACACCAGCCGGTGGCAGCTCCAAACCTCCAGTTCTCTGGGTGCAGTGGGGTTTATGAGTGCGGGCAAAGCCACAGCGCAGTTTGGATTAAACAGCGCCCTCCAGTGTCACTTTTTGTATTGTTTTGTGATACAGGTGGAGATTTCAATTATTTGATCCACTATTAATGCTTTTACGCTTTAAAAAGTTACAATTGAGTAATTGCTCTATTAATTAGGATTTCCTTGTGGCCCATGTTGCAGTATGCGATGACAGAAAGAGCCTACCACAGGAGAAAAGAGTTCATTTGCCCTGCAACTTTCACTTCCAACTCATCTCTGTTGTCCGGAGATAAATCATAAATTAAAAAAAATAAACGTATAAAAACGTTTAATTTACGTGCATCCACAATGTTGATACAATTTAATTGTAGAAGCATTTATGTAAACATATCAAAGTAAAAGTATTTGCAGTAGTCCAGTTTATAGATTCAAGTATCAAACAGTACTCGTTGTGAAGAGTGCACTGTCTAGAAGAGTACGGATAAAGCAATATTTACAGAAACAATAATCACGTGAAGTAAACAAACCAAATATTTTCTAACTTTGGCAGAAACTGTTGTGTTCATGAGGGACTCAAACGCTCAAATAGAGAGGTGGATTGAGAAAGAACAATAACTTTATGGACCTTTAAAGACAAAAAAAACCCCGATTGTTATCATCGTTATTATAATTATTACTATTATTAGTAAAAGTATAGGCAACTTGTTCTTGGTGGTGGGGAAAAGTAGCAGTATGTTTTGTCGCCCTCTGTATGCACACATGGTAACTACTACAGCGTAACAAAAGTCCTCAGAACGTTAATGAAAGGGCTAACCCTAACTTTAAACAAGTTCATGATTTACTATCAATCAAAAATGCTTTTAAAAATGTTTCAAGGTTCATGAATCATCGTATTACATCGTACATCGTATCATGCGATTTGCTTTTCTTTTTCTGAGACGTCACAGTTGTGCGACGGAAGTGTATTTAGTCGGACTCATTTTGATGACGTAACAACATGGGCTGCCGTAGTAATTTCACAGCTGAACAACAAATGCTCTTAAAATGAGCTCATTAGTGACATAAACATTTGAAGCACGACTTTTTTTTTTTACACATTAGCATGAATCATAACTGTCCTCTACCCTGCTACACCTGAACGGTCAGTTTGTTTTGCGGACTAAAGGCTGTTTTACAGACATCACCATGTCGTTCCTGGTGGACTCAGTCATCATGTTCACCTCACAGGTAACGTTGATAGTGAGTTAATAAAGTCGACACATCGCAACTTGTGTTATTTTCACTGAACAAGTTCATACAGCGCCAGCTAACGTTGTATTAAAATGGTATCTACGTAACGTTGAACTTCAACGTCCTGTAGTCCAACATGGTGTGTCTATCTAAATTCATTTCATAATACTCAATATTGAGATCAAACACTTCCCACGTCAGCATAACAGCGGTTTATGTGGATTCAACTGTTCTTCATGGACCACATCGTTCTCCAAATAACTCATTTATTCCAACACAGGTGCTGTTCTTTGGGTTTGGCTGGTTATTCTTTATGCGGCGGCTGTTTAAAGATTATGAGGTACACTGTTATTAAACACAAGTGCATTTCCACCTGGTTATCTCCAATAGAGCTGTAGGCCTCATCAAGCACTGGACGTCCTCTCTACTAACTGTAAACTGCTTTTTTGTTTGTTGACAGGTGCGACAGTATGTCGTCCAGGTGGTTTTCTCCATCACTTTTGCTTTTTCATGCACCATGTTTGAGCTCATCATCTTTGAGATCCTGGGTGCCTTAAGTAGCAAGTGAGTACATGTTCTGTGGACTATAACTCTGTTTTATTGCTGCTTCCTTGCAGTTGAGGAATTTTCATTTGTTTCATGTCTTTGCCACAGCTCTAGGTATTTTCACTGGAAGCTGAATCTGTATGTGATTCTGCTGGTCTTAATCTTCGTGGTGCCTTTCTACATCGGATACTTTGTTGTCAGCAACATACGCCTGTGTAAGTATAGCTGTTTAGCCGGGTATTGGAAATAAAATGCTGTAACTAAAAATGTATTACGCAATTTTGACGATTGTAATTTCACACATTATGTCACAGAAAGCTGTTTTCTTTGTGTCTGTGTGTAGTGCAGAGACAGAAGCTTCTGTTCGCTTGTATGGTGTGGTTTACCTTCATGTATTTCTTCTGGAAGTTGGGAGACCCATTCCCCATCCTGAGTCCAAAACATGGTGAGTGTGCATTGGTCTCCTCTCTGGGCACCTTTACGCCTCGTTTCTCTTTCCTCATACTGTGTAGAGGCCTTCGTCTGTAAAGGTGGTTGATAGCCAAGTGAAACACTGTTGTCAGTCTGTTGTTGTCTTTTCCCCAGGCATCCTGTCCATTGAGCAGCTCATCAGTCGTGTTGGTGTGATCGGAGTCACCCTCATGGCTTTGTTGTCTGGGTTTGGTGCGGTCAACTGTCCCTACACGTACATGTCCTATTTCCTCAGGTAAGCTTAGCTGTGGGTTTTCTCTCAGGTTATCTTCAGCAGCCGCATCACACAGCTTGTTAATCTCAGTCTGTTTATATGCGTCAGACATTGTTATCGTGAATGGCATATTGTTGTTTTCATGACACATGCGGCCATTGCTTTGATGCGTCCTGTTTGGTTCTTTTCAAAGGAATGTAACAGACAGTGACATCCTCGCTCTGGAGAGGCGGCTGCTCCAGACTATGGACATGATTGTCAGCAAGAAGAAACGGTGAGTAAAAAGTATTACTTATCTTGTTGATGGAATGAATAAAACAAATTATCTTACTACTACAATTTGTTCTGTGTGTGTGTAGAATTGCCATGACACGGCGGCAGATGTACCAGCGTGGGGAAGACCAGAACAAACAGACAGGATTCTGGGGCATGATCAAGAGTGTTACCTCGACACAAACAGGCAGCGAAAGTATCCTTTATACTTATATGGACTAACATTTCCAAAAGTCTGTTCCTAGATAACTGCGTACTAATTGTTTACAGTATTTGTAGTGGATGTCAGCCTTGACTTATTCCCTCCAGACCTATCTCTGATCCAGCAGGAGGTTGATGCTCTGGAGGAGCTGAGTCGGCAACTCTTTCTTGAGACTGTGGATCTGCAAGCCACTAAGGTAACACACGTGCACGCACACACACACACACACACACACACACACACACACACACACACACAC